GCTCCCCCGACTCTTGGTGATTCTATATAGTGGCAGTGGTTTTTGGAGTGTTACACATCTTCACTGGTTTCAGGATTTTATTGCATAAATGAATATCCTCTTATCTGCAGCCTCACAGGCTCTGTGCTCCCCTAGCCCTCAGGTATATGTCCTCAGCACACACAGTTCTTACTGTATGAACCCACCCTGCAGACTTTTCTCTTGGCCGTCGCTGCTTCTGATTGGACCGGTCTCCTGGATACCTGTCCATCCTTCCTCTTCCCTGCCCTTTTACCCTGTGGTTTGGTGAGAAGGAAGGTTCTGGCCCCTTCTGGGGCTCTGCCAGGGCTGGCTGCCTTTGGACAAAGAGCACAGCTCAGTAAAAGCATGGAGCTGTGCATAGGGATTGGCCACAAACATTTCAGAGGGCTCAAGTCATTTATTTATTCAACAAGTGTTTTCTGATGTCTATTGTGGGCAAGTCTGTGAGGGAGGATTTATGTGAGAGAAAAAGATTTAACAAGTTCCAGGTAGTAACTTTCCCAGAAAGACTTAGAGGGATTGGGAGCGGGGAGGGAGCACTTCTGTCTTCATGCCTCTCCTGGGATGCTCCAGGGCAACGTGTGTTATTCGAACACAATTTCTGACCCATTAGTGAGTTATAAAGTCACTTTAATGTAGCTCCACCACCCTTTAAAGCATTGGATAGGATAGAATTAGAATGCATCAGCCATAGTGAGAGCTGTTATGGTTTCATTAATTTTTTCTTCAGCTCTGTCTAGTCTCCTGTTAAATATGTTCAATGAGTTTTAAATTTGGTTATGGAGATTATTTTTTTTTTATTTCTAGAAATTCCATTTGGTTCTTTTTCACTCTGCTGTGTCACTTTTTTTTTTTTTTATATAGTTTCCTGTTCTCCGTAGGGCTCTGCAAGCTTTTCTCATATTGATTTAAGCACACAGAGTAGGCATATCTGTGTTGCTGATGATGTCTGTGTCTGCAGTCTGTCTGAAGTCTCCTCACGTCCGATGCCAGTGTCTGTCTGTGAGTTTGTTCTCTTTCACGGCATCTTGTTCCCAAGAGTTCCTGGTTATCTTTGTATACTGGTTATTGCATTTGAAAATTTTGGTATGCGTGACTGCGGATGAGGATAAAGGTAGCTTCCTGCAGAGAGATTTTGAGGGCACCTCCTATCCAAAAGTGCCTGAAGCCAAACTTCAGTTTGGGGGTTTCTTGCACTGGCTGGGGGGTTCCAGCGGGCTTGAGTTCCTGGAAGGACTCTTCTACTCTGGGTGTAGCCCTTGCCTGGGGGTGGGATAGCCCTTTGGGGCTCCAGGTAATGAGGGGAGGGTCTCCTGCTGCACTCCCCACCTTCCATGACCTGGGCTTGGATTTGTGCCCATGTTACCTGGTGAAGCTGTCCAAATAAAGGCTCGTGTTTTCTGGAATCAGCAATACCCTCGGGGAGAAAGTAACTTGGGTGTTTCTCTATCTCCCTGGTTCCCTTTTGATCTCCTGTTCTGGCCGGATGATTCCGCGCCGTCTTGTCAGTTCTTGAAGAAGTCTTAGAGTAACATGCATTTGAAATATCCGATTGTTTTAGTTCTTTTCTGGTTGGCTTGGTCCAGAGTGGATTACAACCACATTCTCAGTCCTATGGGACCCAGCACCTGCCCATCATTACCAGGCACTGAAGTTTCTGTTTCATGAGGGGTGACCCAAAAGTGCGTTTCCTAGGTGAGTCAGGTTAGAGAAGCCTCAGTCTCTGCTCTTGGGGTAACATGCTCAGTCTCTGCTCTTGGGGTGACATGGGGCGGCACCACCTCTTTCCTCCTTTTCTCTTGTCTGGATTGGGAGTCGGGGGTGGTGGAGGGCCGTGGGGAGGCCTATGGGATGGTGGCCTCCCTGCCCTCCCTTGGCTTCCAAGCTCAGGCTCAGGCCCCAGCTGACTTCACTCCTGGGGCAGCTCCCCTGGGCTGACTGGACCCTCACTGCCTCCCTCCTGTCTCCTGTCCTGCCCGCCTCCCCTCCACTGCAGTACCTCACCCCTTTCCTCCCTTCAAGGCTAGAGTCAGACCTGCCCTCCCTTAACCCCCACCAACATTCTTCCAGGGAGGGTTTCTAGATGCCTGTATTCTTTCGGCTGACAGCTGCTGAGCGGGTTAGAGGAGAATGCCACAGGGATGAGCTCCAGTCAGCCCTGCCTGCCTGCCCCTCACAGTCTGTGAGTGTGGAAAAAAGGAAGCAGATCACCTTGTTGGACCCAGGGACCACCTCACCCAAACTTTTTTATTTTCTTATATCATTGTTTTCCCCTCAGGTATAACTCCTGTAGTTATTTTTTTAAATTATTTTTTTTTTAAAGATTCATTTATTTATGCACTCAAGAACTGGGGTACAGGCCAGAGATGCAGGGCGTGAGAGGATTCACCAGAGACAGAGTGGGGAACAGAACAGGTGGATTGACTGAAATACACAGCTGAGGGGAGCAGCGGGTGAGGCATCTGAGAGGTCTGCTGCGCCATGTGGTTGCTCCCTGGCCGGCTGGGGATCGAAATCGTGCTGTGGATCGAAATCGTGCTGTAGTGGTTGCAAACAGCCTTTGTAGTGCTGATGCGTAACTCCTTGTGCCACTAGGGAGGCCCCTAGCCCCTGTAGTTGTCCCATCATGTAGCACCCATGATCCATCACCACATTCCCTTGTGCTTTTCCCCCTCCTGTTTTGACCCCTCTCCCTCCCCCACCCCTGCTGTATGCCTCAGATCTACGGTCAGCTTGCTAGTTTTATCTTTTTCCTGACCCTTTGTTCAGTTTTCCAGTGTTTCACCTATATGTGAACCCATTCTATATTTTTCTTTTCCCTTCTGGCGAAGTTAGCTTAGCATAATCCCTTCCAGCGCTATCTGTGTTGCTGCAAATGGCATGAGTTTGTCTTTTATGATCCCAGAGCCCCTTTTAATATTATGAAGTGGCATCATAAGTCAGACCGTCTATCCACATCTAGATTATTTAATATGAAATGGGGGCGGTCCAGGGCCAGCGTAACAGTGGAGAAACAAAGGGAAAGCAATTTATGCTAAAGACATATGTGTTTTAGAAGTAAATGTGGGCACAACTAGAAGCCGTCAGTTTGCCTCTGAATCATGAAAGCAGCAGCCCCCAAATGCAGGCGTTTGTGAGCAATGTATTTTCTGAAACAGTAAAAAACACCTCGTAAAGTTTAAACACAAGGACAATCTTCCCTCAGTTTATAGTGAAGTTGCATTCCTGGAAAATTCAGAGTTTGCTAGACCATAAAAAATAGTTTGTGTTTCTTTGTGCTGCTCGGACCCCAGCACTGCCTGAAGCCTTCTGCCTGACAGTGAGCAGGCGTCCCCAGGACAGTCTTTATGGTGCAGGAGTCCAGCGTCCCTGCCCAGCCCACTAAATGCCAGCTGTGACCTCAATCTTTGGGATGACCAAAATTGCCCACCCCCCATTTCCAAAGTGCCCAGCTCCAGTGGGAAACCACGCCTCTAACAAGGCAGTGAGATTGATGTGGTGACCAGGGATGGGGTGGGGAAGCATTGGGGTGTCCAGTCCAGCCTGAAGGAGCAGGAAGACTTTCTGGAGGGGTGTTACCCCGGCTTCTTCTTGAGAACTGAGCAGAACCCCTTAAAGACATACTCTCTTCAATGAACTGAGTGCTTATTTCCAGAAGGGACGCCCCCTCACGCTGGGGAGCCAGGGTGGGCTAGGTGGGCTGCCCGGGGTGGCTCCATGTACTTTTGGAATTGCCATTTCCCCTCCCTTCAAGGAACTTCTGTCTTCCCTGAATTCTGACTCACTCAGCTTCTCCTCTTGATGGGAGGGGCCTCTGTCTCCTCAGAGGCCAGAAGGAAAATCCAGGTTTGCGCCTGGTTCTCCAGGGCTGGGTGGCTAGCTTTGGCTGGAGCAGGAAGATAGCTCTCCTTTTAGAGGGAAGAGGAAGGGCCTGAAAGAGGGGAGACCCCTTCTCAGTGCTCTGCTCCCCTAGGTCCCCCATATAACCATTGCTCTCCTGTGTCCCATGCTGCTGGAGCGCGGTGCAGACCTGGCGTGGCACTGCTGCAGCACAGGGTCCCAGTGGCTGCAAGTCCACCCATTGATTCCCTCTGTAAACAGGGAACTCACTCCTCACAGCACAGCCCCGGCTGTTGTTAAACAGACCCAGTAGCCGTGGTGGCATTTCACCATGAATGGGATCTTCCAGCTCGTGCCTCCTTTTGATAAGAAGTAAAATCTGACACTCCTTTGGCTTTACAGAAATCGTTGGTGTCTTGTTTATTTTCCAAAATGAAAATTGTAATCATCAGCCTATTTTTGGAATTTTGATTGGCCTTGTCTTAGGTCGAGTTTCTTGGAAGCAGAACATGTAATGGGGAGAATTATTGAAGAGAAGTCTTAGGGCAGAGTGGGGGAGACTCGCTCAACCAGGGCAGGTGAAGAGCTGAGCAAGGAGGCAGTTTCAGGGAAGAGAAGCTTCAGCCTGATGCCCCAGGGGCTGGGGAGTGACCAGCCTGCAGTGTCCTCCAGAGGCCGGGCTGGGACAGGCATGCGTCAGCCCCTGGATGGTGGCCACTCAGGGGGGAGTAAGGGTTGTAGCTTCCCAGGCACTGTGATGGCAGGTGGCCAGAGAAGGATGTGGGTGTGAATTGCCAGCCAGGGATATCCACAAAAACTGGGCACAGACAGAGGGTGGGGGTCGCCAGCCTTTGATAAAGCTCCTGTGGGGAAGAGGGAAGAGGGCGTGTGTCTACCTCCTAGGAGAGAGCCTGCTCTCAGACCTGCTTCTGGACTCTCCGTTTTGCTGAGCATAATCCAGGATGCTGCTAGGCTTTTCCAACCACTTCCCATCTAGCCTGACTAGGAAGAGGAAGGGAGGGGAGGAGGAGAGAGAAAGGCGGGGGGCTTGGGGGCAGGGCTGCAGGCTGGGGTTTTCTCCAGGCTCTCCTGAGCTCCAGATGAACTGATCCCCCTCCTTTTTGCCTGCTCTACCATAGACTGCCTCTTCAAGGTGTGCCCCATGAACCGTTACTCAGCTCAGAAGCAGTACTGGAAGGCCAAGCAGACCAAACAGGACAAGGAGAAGATCGCCGATGTGGTTCTGCTGCAGAAGCTGCAGGTGTGTGTGTGTGTGTGTGTGTGTGTGTGTGTTGGGGGAGTAGAGCACCCTCCCAAGCACCCAGGCTGGCACAAGCGATGCCAGGGCAGATAGCTCAGTGAGTGGAATGTGGACTGGATTTCAGCTCCCACCAGCCCTTCAGCTGGACACCATGGTGCAGTGAACAACCTGGACAGCTGTACATGGAGTTACCAGTGACTCCAGGGAATCTAGTTTGAGAACTAGCCTTAACCTTTCTCCTAGTTTTATAGAGTTGGAGCTCAGGGTCCTTAGATGGGACGGGGCTGTCTGTGGTCATCCTGTGGGTTTATAATAGGGTCTAAATGGCCCCCAGGTCTCTGACCCACCTTGGGTTCCTTGGATACATGGACAGTACAGTACGGGGGCCTGGCGGTGACTCGTGGGCTCTCTGTGGCTGTGGCTCAGCTCACATCTTGGCAGTCCTCTCTGGACAGAGCTCAGGGCCCCGAGCCCAGCCCTCCTGGAGAAGAGTGGGAGGCTCTGGCTGTGGTCAGCAATTTTGCAGCCTGCTTCTGCGACCTCCCCCATCACGCAGACTTTGCTTTCCTTTTTCCTGGCCCTGAGGAGTGGGTGTGAGGTGAGAAGCGTGGGCTCCCCCATAGCTGTGGCCAGGGCTGAAAAGAGGAGGCGGGGCTGGGCTGCTGAGCTCATCATCCCTGCTCTCTTCCTGGACTGGGGACTGTCACAGGCCCCCTTCCTGCTGCCGACACAGGCAGAGGCTGAGCTGGGATCTGGCCTGGTCTGCGCAGTCACACAGGCAGATGTACTCAGACCGCACTTGGTCACTGCAGCACGCTGTATGTTTGTGGAAAGTCACATGGTAAACGGCAAGACTTGCCAGCAGCCATCCTCAGCCTGGCCTTGGTCATGAGATCTGGGGCAGGGGACTGAGGAGAAGAAAGGAGCAAAGGGACCATTGCTCAGAGGGTGCCAATCTGATGCAGGAGACAGAGCCTCTCCTCAGGCAGCTTCCTGTCTAATGAAACAGAAGTGCTTAAAAAGGTGCTCTTGGTGAGGTGCAGACCAGATCCTTGAGGCTACTTGAGTGACATCAGGGTTGCATGTGGCCAGTCAGAGAAAGCCCCCTGGAGGCAGTGGACTAGGGGCCCACAGTTTTGGGAGGGGGTCACAAGGAGTGGGTGGAAGAGGAGGAGGAAATTGCACCAAGCATGCTTGGGCCTGGCACCAGAGGGGCCATCAGGAGCCCGTGAGGCGGGGGTCGGGAGGCACAGCTTAGGTTGTCTGCTGAGGGTGTGGAGGGCATGGGTGCTCAAGGGCTTGCTGGTATGCCCCCTCCAGGGGGAGGTGTGGGGGGCAGGGAGGAGGAATTTGGTTCCCCGGCTGCCTCTACACTCTGAGCCTCGGTCCCTCCTCCAGAGTAGGAAGGAACGGGCCAGCTGGCCCATGAGGTCACTGTGGGTGCAGTGCCAGGAGCTGTGTGTCTGTGTGTGTGTGCGCGCACGCGCGCAGGTGTGTGTGCAGGTGAGGTGTGTCCCTCCAGGGCCAGGCCTCTCACCTCTGTGCGTGTGCATGTGTGTGCAGCATGCGGCCCAGATGGAGCAGAAGCAGAACGACACGGAGAACAAGAAGGTGCACGGGGACGTGGTGAAGTATGGCAGTGTGATCCAGGTGAGACCTGCTGCGGGTCCCGGAAGGACTGGGTTGGGGTGCGGCGTCCAGCTGGCGTGCCCTGGGGGGGCGGTTTGTGTCCTCAGTGGGTTACTCTAGGACGTCTCTGTGATTGCACACCTGTGTGTGTCCTCGGCCAGGTGGCCTGAGCAGCTGTGTCCACTGGTGTGTTTTTGGCACAGTGGTCACCAGCTGTTTTGGGGTTCAAACCTTGGCTCTGTGACTTTGGGTAAGTTACTTAAATTCCTGACGCCTCCGTTTCCCATCTGCCAAGTCAGGCAGTGATGGTGCTTCCCAATTGGTTGTTGTAAGTGCTGTGAGGTACAGCGTGTATTTAGAACAGTGCTGGTTCTGTTTTGGGGTCACCTGGGCACCCCGCTGGTGTGTATGTTTGTGTGATCATGTGTGTGGCTGCATGAGTCTCAGTTGGTGTTTGTGTCTGTCTGACACTGTATGTGCATCAAGCTGTGACCAAGCAGCCCCCGCGGTCTCCCCCGCCTCAATGGGCAGGCCTCCTGGGGCCCGGAGACCTCACCCGCGCCCTGCCTGTCCCCCAGCTCCTGCACATGAAAAGCAACAAGTACCTGACAGTGAACAAGCGGCTGCCGGCCCTGCTGGAGAAGAACGCCATGCGGGTGACCCTGGATGCCACGGGCAACGAGGGCTCCTGGCTCTTCATCCAGCCCTTCTGGAAGCTGCGGAGCAATGGGGACAATGTGAGGGCAGGGCTGGCAGGGCCGGACAGGTGGGGATGGGGGCTGATGGAGGGTGCAGGCCATAGTTCTGAGGGACTGCTGAAGAGGTGGATGTGGGTGAGGGGATGGCCTGGGTAAGGTCAAGCCCATTTCTTAGACAGGACACCTGAGATCAGAGGAGACCTAGAGACCTGGCCTTTCCCACCCTCACCCCGTTGCACCTGTCTCCACAGGTGGTTGTGGGGGACAAGGTGATCCTGAACCCCGTCAACGCCGGGCAGCCTCTGCATGCCAGCAATTACGAGCTCAGTGACAACGTGGGCTGCAAGGAGGTAAGGGCTTGCAGTGGAGAGGTGTCCACACGCCCCTGAGGACACCATTTTCTCCCCACCAGTTTCATCTGGATGAATAGGGCTTCGCTGCTCCCCCACCTCTCCCATCTGCACCCATTGTCCATCCCATAAGCTGGTGGCCCCTGGGCAGGTCTAGGGACACTGACTGGGAGGAGACACCCCCTTGTTGTGCTCTAGGGGCCTGGTTCTCCCCTCCCCGGGCCCCAGCATTGTGTGCCCCCCATTGTTGGGGGTCTACCTGGCATCATGTGTCTCTGCCCTTCCTCAGGTCAACTCCGTGAACTGCAACACTAGCTGGAAGATCAACCTGTTCATGCAGTTCCGAGACCACCTGGAGGAGGTGTTGAAAGGGGTAAGAACTGGAGCCCCCCACCCGGCCACCTGCCTACTGGTGCAGCCCTCCTCCCACCAGCTCCTCGTCCTGCCTTCCCCCTCCGACCATGCACCCAGCTCTGCTCCCAGTCTGGCCTGCCCCTCCCCGCGCCCCTTCTCGCTGCTCCCAGCCTGTGTTGCAGTTGGGAGTGTTTTTGGTGGATCTGTCATGGTTCCGATGTTAGATTCCAGGCAACTTGGAAGTAAGACTTGAGTGTGCAAAGCCCACCCTGATTTTGCTCCAGCCAGGCACTGCCTGGTGCAGAAGTCCCTAGGCTCTGTCATAGTAACGAACTCAATCTGCATATATTCACGCACACGCGTTGGTTCTGCTGATGTTGGCTGAGTCCTTGGTGTTCAGCGCAGTGTAGAGAGGACAGCTGGTGCTGCGGGTGATGGGCCCAGGAGCAGCAGCCGTGCATGAGAGCCCACTGGGGACAGACCCCACCAGGGCAGGCATGATGGAGAATGAGGTTAGGTGTGGTGTAGGCGTGGCAGACATGGACTCATGTCCCATTTGACACGGACCACGTGACCTTGGCAGGACACATACCTTGTCTGTGCCCGAGTTGGTCCACCTGTAAAATGGGGATATTGATGCCTGTGCCCGGAGGGCTGGTTTGAAGGTAAGTGGGGAAGCTCTTGGAGGGCTGGCTCAGTGGCTGGCATGCAGTAAGCGTGCAGAGTTACTTCCTGACTCAAATGCTAATCCTCTGACATGTGCAAGGAGATCAGAGCTTCCCCATGTTACAGAAGGACTATGTTAAGGGACTTATCCCAAGACACGCAACCTGTAAGGGCAGAGCCAGGATCCAAACTTGGCCTCTGAATCTAAGGCCACAGAGATGGAGAGGCCGTGGTCCACGCACTCCACCTGCCCCCATCTTGGGGGGGAACAAAAGAAATGGGCTGCACTGCACTGAAGTGGAGCGGTGGGTCTCTGTCTATCCTGAGCCTGTGCCCCACTGCCTGCAGGGGGACGTGGTGCGACTGTTCCACGCGGAGCAGGAGAAGTTCCTGACGTGCGACGAGTACAAAGCCAAGCTGCAGGTGTTTCTGCGCACCACGCTGCGCCAGTCCGCCACCTCGGCCACCAGCTCCAACGCCCTCTGGGAGGTGGAGGTCAGAGCCTACTTCCCGCATCCAGGACCCAGCCCTTTACTCCAGGCTGGGCCACCCCTCCCTCTTCCCGTATCCCTCTGGAGGGGGTGGAAGGTTGACCCCTGTGTCTCCTCTAAGCCCCTTCAGAGCCAAGGAGGGTCCAGGACACCAGGTGCTCCATACCTTCCCCATCCCTCTGCTCCCCAGCAGGGTTTGTGCCACCCCTCCCTGGCCAGTCTCCTTCCTTCCTCACCCCTGCACCCTGCCCCACCCCAAACCCCACCAGGTTGTCCACCATGACCCCTGCCGTGGAGGAGCTGGCCACTGGAATGGCCTATACCGCTTCAAGCACCTGGCCACAGGCAACTACCTGGCTGCTGAGGTGAGTGGGGAGGCAGAGGGCATCCTGGGAGTCAGGCTGTGTGGGCATGACAGAGCATGGGGACCTACTGCACTTCTGCACACACACACACATGCCTGTGGACCCTGGCTTATGGGCTCATGCAGTCACTCAACAAATATTATCAGTAGGTGCGTGACTGTAAATAAGCCTAGTAAATGTTACTGTGTTATAAATAACACCACTACTATGTGTTGGGAGCTCTTTTAGGCACAAGGGATATATCAGTGAACAAAATTCCCAGCCCTTGCAGAACTTAAATTTGACACCCATGTCTGTCCATAATGTACAGGCTTGTTGGGGCATTTGTGTGTGTCAGAGTGGTGTTTGTTCATCTGTCGGTCTACAGAGAGGGATCATGAAGAGCAAGACTTGGGGCCTCTCATTAGTGGCTCCTTCAGGAGTGATGCGGGTTTTGGGGCCTGGGTAGGCACCCCTGGGAGAGTGGAGGCTGTATGCCCTGAATCAAGGCTATGTGTAGACCTGCCTTGGAGTGGGGGTTATGTGAGTATAGCTTGGAATCCAATAAATCCCCCCATCTTGCATCTCTGTTCCAGGAGAATCCCAGCTATAAGGGCGATGCTTCTGATCCCAAGGCAGCAGGAGCGGTGAGGACCAAAGCTGGACCCTAGGGCTTAAGGAAGGGGGACCAAGCATTGCTCTCTGGGGTGGGTGGGAGTGGGAGAGCAGGAATTCCTAGGAAGTGGGATGGAGGGAGAAGACCTCTCAGGGGGGATTTCAGGTGGTTTCAGAAGGCCTGAGTGGAGGAATTGGGATCTTCACCCCAGGGTGCCCAGGGCCGCACGTGTCGCCGGAATGCTGGGGAGAAGATCAAGTACCGCTTGGTGGCTGTTCCCCACGGCAATGACATCGCCTCCCTCTTTGAGCTGGACCCTACCACGTTGCAGAAAACCGACTCCTTTGTGCCCCGGTGGGTGTGCGTCATGTGTCTGGGGGCTGACTGGGTGTGCCCAGGCTGGGTCATTCTGCCTCTGGACTCCCTGTGACCCCACTCCTCTGTCCTCCTGAGGTCCTTTGGCCTCAGGACCTGCAGACCCACCCCTCTCGGGATCCTGCTCTGAAGCAGCTGACCCCAAAAGTGTTTGCTGTGCAACTGGCCTGGGTTTGGCACACCGGGTGCTGCCCTGTGCCATTTCTCTGAGTCCTTCATTAGCTGCCTGCCCCTTCTGGATAGGCATAGGGTGGTTTGTCCAAGGTACACTGCGTTGGGTGGCCCCTGACCTCAGATTCTAGGACATGACATCCAGAAACTTCCTGGGTGTCAACCCCACTTTCACTTTACCAGCTTTACAACCTCAGGCAGCTTCCTCAATTACTTTGCTGATTTCCTCAAGTCTTCGGGAGAATTAGCTGAGTCACTACAAGCACACGATCCCTTACCTGAAACTCTTGGGGCTGGATGCGTTTTAGATTGAGTGTTTTTCATTTCAGAAAGTTAATTATATTTCAAATCAAAGACATAAGTATTTCTGCTGTGAAATGCATGCTTCTAGACACTAAATGGGATAAATGGTCTAAATAGCCTCATTTGTCCAAATGAATTTTGGTCCCAAGTTTATAAACAAGCCCTGGCTTAAGAGTGCTTGGGATTTGAGGAGTGTGATGAGGCAGGTGGGCCGGGCAAGGGTGCTGGTTAGCAGGATTTCTCACCTGGGAGGAGCTAGGGTCCCCTCCCCCCACTGCTGGGTGTGGAGTCAGGTGGAGATGTGGTGCCCTTGGGAGTGGAGTGGCTGGACCACTGGACACACTCACTCCCGGCGCCCTGCCCCCGCCCCTCCTGCAGGAACTCCTATGTGCGACTTCGCCACCTCTGCACCAACACGTGGATCCAGAGCACCAACGTGCCCATCGACGTGGATGAGGAGCGGCCCATCCGCCTCATGGTGCGGGTGACCCCGGGGCTGGGTGCTGGGGCGGGGTCCCGAGCTCATCCCCAGGTGCCCTGCTGACCTCTGCCCCTGTAGCTGGGCACCTGCCCCACCAAGGAGGACAAGGAGGCCTTTGCCATTGTATCGGTGCCTGTGTCTGAGATCCGAGACCTGGACTTTGCCAATGACGCCAGCTCCATGCTGGCCAGCGCCGTGGAGAAGCTCAATGAGGGCTTCATCAGCCAGAATGACCGCAGGTGGGCAAGGCGGGGAGCTTACGGGGTCTCCTGAGGAGCCTTGCCGTTCTGGGAAGTAGTTGCAAAGCAGAAACCGGGCAGGCTGGACCGGGTGGTGTGATCAGAGCCGGGGACTGTCCTGCGGGCCCCTGGATGCCCAGGCCCTGCTCACGTTGTCTCAGTGTTAGCTCTGACGTCGCCATTAACACTGCTGTTTTACTGACAGTGGGACGGGGCTCAGAGAGTTAAGACACTTGTCCAGGGGGACTCAGCTAGTAAGCGGCATTCAGGACGGCATGCAGATCCCTTTACACCTGCCTTGTGTCCTCTCCTTTCCAGATTGGAATGTCCTGAGTTGGGGGCGCTTCAGAACTCAGGGTGGTGGGGTGAGGGGTGTGTTTTGACTGTAGTTGGGGTGAAGGCGGGGTGGCCTTTGCACTCTGGCAGCACACCTGAATCACTGCATGTTTGGGAAGGGCTGTGTGTCCCACTGGGGGCTTGTGCGGAAGTTGCCCGGAGTCGATAACTCACATGCGTCATCCCTGGGGTCCTGTCTGGAAGGTTTGTCATCCAGCTGCTGGAGGACCTGGTGTTCTTCGTGAGTGATGTTCCCAACAATGGGCAGAATGTGCTGGACATCATGGTCACCAAGCCCAACCGGGAGCGGCAGAAGCTGATGAGGGAACAGAATATCCTCAAGCAGGTACCTGTGCACACGCTCGGGAATGGGGAGGGCTGCAGTGAAGGCGGCGGGGCAGGGCCTGGGACCAGGAGCAGCGCGGCCTTTCAATGTGAGTGGTCCTGTTCTCATCTCCAGTCCCCCTGCTGTTTCTCATCACTTCTTTGGAAAAAATCAGTACTTTCCAAACCTATCCTGTGTGCCAGGCACTGCCCTAAGCGCCCTACATGTATTGGCACAGTTGATTCTCATGATGTGGGAGCTGCTGCTGTTATCTTCATTTTGGGGAAACTGAGGCATGCAGCGTTGGAGAAATGAGCACGTGCACCCAGCTAGGAAGCATCGACATGGAGGAGGATCTGAATTTAAGCTGTTGGGTCTCTTGCTGCCATTTGCCAGTTGGCTTTATGGGACTCTGAGTCTGTATATACATCCTTCCATGCATACATTTCAGAAGGTGCTCCTCACCCCTAAAGTTTACAGCTGTACCTCCAAGGAACATGGACACCATCCTATATAAGCACGGTGCCATCATCGTACCTAAGAAAATTAGCGCTACTACCCAATATCAACTTTCCCCACTTTTCCCAAAATGTCTTTATAAGGCTTGTTTTCCTTTGAACCAGGATCCCAGCAAAGGTTTTCTCATTTCATTTACTTCTGTCCCTTTATTGTCTGTTCTAGAACATTTTTTTCAACAATTACAATTTTTGTAATTACATAAACTTTTTTTTTTTTTTTTTTTTTGATGAGACAGGCCTGTTTCTTGTCTCTTGATCTCTGGCCATACCTCCCTGACCTGCCTTTTCTCTTGGCCTCAGACCCCTGAAGATGACCTTCTGTTCATCCCCAGACACTGAGCTAGGCCCAGGATCTGAGTTGGGATTAGAATTCACGAGGGGAGGAGTGAGCTGACATCAGCTCTGGATTCTGGTCAGGAGTAGGGGTGAGGGCTGGGCCTGGGGCCAATGGTGGGTACACTGGGGAGGTAGTGCAGCTTTGAATCAGCTTGGGGAGGCTTTGGGGCAGGTTTGGTTTGGGGTTTAGGGTTCTTGGGATGATTAGGGGTGTCACAAGTGTGAACATCCCTCCTTACTCTCCCTTCTCCCCCAGATCTTTGGCATTCTGAAGGCCCCGTTTCGGGACAAAGGAGGTGAGGGACCCCTGGTGCGGCTGGAGGAGCTCTCAGACCAGAAGAACGCCCCCTACCAGCACATGTTTCGCTTGTGCTACCGCGTGCTGCGCCACTCCCAGGAGGACTACCGCAAGAACCAGGTGGGGCCCTCCTGCCCGCCCCGGCACCCACTCATCTGCTGCCTGGCTCGCTTACGTCCTCACTCCTGCTTTCACTCATTCAGCAGTGCTTTCTGAGGCACCTGCTGTGTGCCAGGCACTGTTCTGGGCCCTGGGGATACGGAGGAGGTGGTAGGGCCAGCTTCAAGGCCCCTCAGGAGAGCCTTGTGCTATTGGGGTGAGCGCTCTGCTGTTGCTGTATTGAAATTCATTCTTTTGGAACAAGGGTCCTGCTATTGAGTTTTGCACAGGGCTACATAAATTATGTAGCTAGCCCTGCTGGACAGACAAGGTCCCTTTCACGTGGAGGTACCTCCTCTGGCAGGGAGGTAGACCATGAGGTGAATAAATGTTACATAAGCCCTCTCTTCTTCCTCTCGATGCTGGCTTCCCCTCCCAGACGTCCACCTTTCTGGGATCAGGGTCCCCCACTGATGTCAGATCCTGTTCTTGGGGTCTGGAGCTGCCCTCGGCTCCCCATGACTCCAGCATGTCTGCCCCCAGGAGCACATCGCCAAGCAGTTTGGGATGATGCAGTCCCAGATTGGCTATGACATTCTGGCCGAAGACACCATCACTGCTCTGCTGCACAACAACCGCAAGCTCCTGGAGAAGCACATCACCAAGACTGAGGTGGAGACCTTCGTGAGCCTGGTGCGGAAGAATCGGGAGCCCAGGTGGGCCTGCCTGCCCGCCCTCCACCCCTGTCCAGGGTAGAAAGTTAGCCGGTGCCAATGGTTAAAATATTGAGATTCTTCTGCCCCTGTGAATAAGTTGCCACCTCTCTGAGGCCCTCCACTCTGGGGCCACTCTGGGGCCTCTCCCAAATTTGGCCCAGACTAGCAAGAGAATTGAGACGTTTGGTATAACAGGAGGTGCTAGACCCTTCCCCAGTGGCAAAATCTGCACCTGTGTTCAACCGGTTAAGTAGTTTGAATGTCGTTTCTGTCCTTGTGCATCCTTCACCCTGACCCTTGAGTCTCCATCTGGCCTCACACCTGCCCCAGGGTGGTATCTGTGGGTTGTCCCTCCTTGGGTGACTGGGAGCCCATCCCACCAATCGCTAGGCTTTGGAAGCATGGGACAGCAGGAGCAGCAGACTGATCCAGGGACCCAGTGTTGCTAGCTGGGGAAGGAGGATGGTGGGCTTTGTCCCCATTTGGGGCCAGTCTCTGAACCCCCTGCCCCACTGCTATGGCCACCCCAGGTTCCTGGACTACCTCTCTGACCTGTGTGTGTCCAACCACATCGCTATCCCCGTCACCCAGGAGCTCATCTGCAAGTGTGTGCTGGACCCCAAGAACAGTGACATTCTCATTCAGACTGAGTAAGCCTCCACAGTCTCCCCATGGCCCAGCAGCCCCCTCCCCGCCGCCAGAGTTCCACCCTGCCTGTCTCCCTTAGCCACCTTAGAGCTCGAGCCCCGTCTAGGTTCAGGCTAGAACCCGTGCGCTCTGCAGACATGCGTGCAGTGTCTGCTGTGTGCCCAGCTCCGGGCCAGCACTGGGTGTGGGTGGGGAGAGGGCATAGAGGAGACTGAGCCGTGGCCCCTGCCCTGGAGGAGCTCATGGTTTCAGGGTCCAAGCTGGAGGTGGTTCCACGTGCAAAGGCGCCTGGCGCCTGGGTGGACCCCGTGTGCTCAGGGAGGCTCTGCGTATGGCTTCCCGCACGCCGCTCCCTGTGACTGCGTGGCGCTGCTCTGCAGGCTCCGGCCCGTGAAGGAGATGGCCCAGTCCCACGAGTACCTGAGCATCGAGTACTCAGAGGAGGAAGTGTGGCTCACTTGGACCGACAAGAATAATGAGCACCATGAGAAGAGTGTGAGGCAGCTGGCCCAGGAGGCGAGGGCCGGCAACGCCCACGATGAGAATGTGCTCAGCTACTACAGGTGACCCCCGTCTCTGCTCCTTCCCTCCCCCAAAGCTTCCTGTGCCCTTTGGCCTCTCAGCAGCCTTCGACCTGTCCCCGCTGAGAGATGAGGTCTCATGGCTTCTGGTGGGGCTCCTGCCTCCACTTGCTGGCAATGCTGCCTTCACTAGGGAGGCTCAGCGAAGGATGCCTTTGTAACCCCAATAGCACGGGGTGCCCTTGAGGCCAGCTTAGCGCAGTGATAGGCCCAAAGGAAACCCAGACAGTCTCCGAATACACACGTTTTAAAAGATGCTCATTATACACCAGGCACTTTGGGAAGCATTTACCCAATGACTCTTAAACCTCATAGGTCTGTGAGGGAGGGGCTGTCTTACCCTCAGCTTAAAGTTGGGAGACAGAGAGGTACACGAACTGCCCCAGGTTACGTAGCTGTAAGTGTAGGCATGGTTCAGGCCCAGGCTGTCTGGCTCTGGAGCCCACAATGGGTCATGCAGGGCTCCTCGGAGGAAGCAGAGGGCATGGCGTCACCTAGTGCAGAACAGAGCTTCCTTCGTCCTCATTTCTATAGCTCTGGCATCTTCCACCTCCTGCTCGCCCTCCCTCCTCTCTCCCAACCCTGCCCTTCCCTCACAGTGGCCCAGGCCCCTTCCTCTCCCAAACCTTCAGCCACCCCTTTCTCCGTGATGATCTGTCCTGGCTGAGCCAGAAAGCATTTAACAAGGAGGGGAGATTTGCAAATAGTCACCCCAGACTATTTTTTCCTTCACCTCTCTTAGCTCAGCACTGCGTCCTTTCTCTTATAGAAGCCGGTGCCCTGTTTAACCTAAGTCCCTTTCTCCAGTCTCAACAAGCCCAGACCCCAGCAAGCTCAGACCCCAACTCTTGCTGGTGCCCCTGCCATGTCCTCATCGTCTTCCTGCCCCTCAGGTACCAGCTGAAGCTCTTTGCCCGCATGTGTCTGGACCGGCAGTACCTGGCCATCCACGAGATCTCCCAGCAGCTGGGCATTGACCTGATCTTCCTGTGCATGGCGGATGAGATGCTGCCCTTTGACCTGCGTGCCTCCTTCTGCCACTTGATGCTGCATGTGCACGTGGACCGAGACCCCCAGGAGCTGGTCACGCCCGTCAAGTTTGCCCGTCTCTGGACTGAGATCCCCACAGCCATCACCATCAAGGAGTGAGACGGGTGGGGCGTGTGGGCTTGATAAGGCTGGGTGGGGGGAATCTCGTGGTCCCTTACACCTCACTGCCTCACCCCAGCTATGATTCTAACCTCAACGCCTCCCGAGATGACAAGAAGAACAAGTTTGCCAGCACCATGGAGTTCGTGGAGGACTACCTCAACAACGTGGTCAGCGAGGCTGTGCCCTTTGCCAACGAGGAGAAGAACAAGCTCACCTTCGAGGTTGGCTGGGTTTATCAGGGCTTGGGTGTACTCCCACTGGGCAACCCTCCAGGGTGGGTTGTGAGACCCATGACCTCACTTTCTTCAGTGCCTGAAGCCCTGCAGGGGGACCATGTAGACCCCCTAGGACTCTCCAAGAGGGAGGCTTCTCTGCTGAAGCTGGGGTTGTCCCATCAGCCCAGGGCCCCACCACAGGGTTCTGGCAGGATCCTCCTTTCTTATCCCCTCCTGTATTTCTGTCCTATTCCCCCCATAGTGGCTTCCCTTGTAGGCCCTTCTTCCCCAGTAGCCTACTAGGGTCAGGCTGCCCTTGTCTGGGACCCTTGGTTCCGCTTTCACCCAGCCCCACCCTTCCAGAGACCTACTTTTCCTGAAGAACCTCACCTTTAAAGGCACTAACCCCCCCACCCCATGAAGTCCCGCCCCATTACCCTGGCCCGCCCACACTCACCTGGGGCCCCGCCCTCTCTCCGCAGGTGGTCAGCCTGGCACACAATCTCATCTACTTTGGCTTCTACAGCTTCAGCGAGCTGCTGCGGCTCACCCGCACGCTGCTAGGCATCATCGACTGTGTCCAGGCCCCCCCAGCCATAATGCAGGCCTTCGATGACTCAGGCGGTGAGGCTTTGCCTGTCCTGGCCATTCACCACCCTGAGTTCCTGTCTCCTCTTAGCCTGGGAGTTCTCTCTGCCAGCCCCCCTGAGTAGCCTCTGCTGGACAGAAGGGCCCTTGGGTCCTGCAGCTGCAGTAGAGACCCTTGGGTCTGGGCAAGTTGCCTTCCAACACTGCTTGGTCTTGAGAGGAGATAATGAGTGAGGAGGGGAGACACGGGTCCCCCAGTCAGATTGGGGGTCACAGTCCTGCCTTCTTGGAACCATTCTCTTAGGGGAGACGCAGCCCTACCATGGGGGACTGTGAGGAAGAAGGGGGCGAGCTGTCCTCAGGACACCCTCAGGCACCCTAAACTTACTGAAACAGAAAGTACATGGAGATCAACTCTGGTATTTGGTGCTCCCCACACAGTGTCCCCTCACGATTTCTCATGATTTCCCACATGAAAATTCGCGCTTATCTCCCACACAGTTCACCTTTCTGCTGACCCACCCATTTTTTCCAGATTTGCCTTAAAACTTAGCTCCTCCAAGAAGCCTTCCTGGATTAGCCTTGCCCTTCCTAATCGTGGTTTCTCCCTGCTACTGCTGGAGAGTTGAGCCGGGGGTCTCTGCCGTGCACTCCCGTGACCTGCTTCTGCTCCGCGCTCTGCAGGCAAGAATGTGCGGCGGTCCATCCAGGGCGTGGGGCACATGATGTCCACCATGGTGCTGAGCCGCAAGCAGTCTGTCTTCGGCACCCCCAGCCTGCCCACCGGCGCCAGTGCTCCTGAGCCCCTGGACAGAAGCAAGTTTGAGGACAATGAAGACATCGTGGTGATGGAGACCAAGCTGAAGATCCTGGAAATCCTGCAGGTGGTTGGACCAGAGTGGGAGTGTTGGGAATAGGGCAGGACATGGAGGACAGGCTGGGGGAACCCCCCTCAGGTCACAGTATCTGGTGCCTGGAAACCTCAGGGTCATCAACTATGTAGCCCCGGGCTTCTCAAAGTGTTGTCTTCAACCAGCAGCCTCAGCATCACCTGGGGACTTAGAAATGCACATGCTCAGGCCCCATCCCAGATCTAGGGGTCAGAAACAGTGGGAGCAGGCCAGAGCCGATGGGTGATGAGCCCTCTCCCCCCCGTCCCCCATGATTCTGATGTGCACTAAAGTCTAGTTTTGTCCCTCATTGTTCAGAAGAGGGATAGTAAAAAGGGGAGGGCGGGACTTTCCCATGGTCACAGAGACCCATTTCCCAGTCACCCCAGTCCTGGGTCTCATCTGAGACTCTCCAGCAACACTTGGAGAGGGGATCGTAGGGTCTTCTGATTCATTCCCGGGGCCAGGGGTTATCCAGTTCTGAGTCCTGGCATGTGGCGAGGACAGAGACCAGTCAGGGTGTGTGCAGAAGTCCATGGCATCCTCTTTCCACTAGGACAGGTTGACAGGGTCGGCCTTTGGACTCATGAGAAGTTGGGCTTTGTTCCCTTTCCCTTTTCCCAGCCTGGGAAAGAGGAACTGGCCAGGGAGGCTCTCTGGCTCATTCTGAGTGGAGGTGCCACTGCCCTGCATGGGGGCAGCTGGACCTCGCTGGGGAGAGGGGAACACTTGTGCTGAGACCCTGAGTGCTAGAACTCTTCTGGCCTCTGTCCCCCACAACCCACCCCACTGCCCCTGGAGCAAGATTGGCCTCCTGATCTCAGACTGACCCTCGCCCCATCCTGTCCCCGCTTCTCCAGTTCATCCTCAATGTCCGCCTGGATTACCGCATCTCCTACCTGCTGTCTGTCTTCAAGAAAGAGTTTGTGGAAGTGTTTCCCATGCAGGACAGCGGGGCAGATGGCACAGCCCCTGCCTTCGACTCCACCAGTGAGCCTCCGCCTCGCCTTCACCCGGCCCTTAGTCAAGTTTTTTTTAACTCACCCAGGGACACACAGTGGCGGGTGGCGCTTGGGGGACACCAGCTCCCCAGCCCTGTCCATTTCCTAGTGTGCAAAGGCCCTTCTTCTGCCTCGTCTCACTTATTTGCCATTGTGAGAAGGAAGGGTGGGGATGACTCTGTTTCTAAATGGGGAAACTGAGTCCCATAGATGGACAGGGACTTGCCCAAGGTCATAATCAACTAGAGACCGAGCCAGTCCAGGACCCTGGGTCTCCTGACTCCATATGGGGCAGGCAGAGGGGCTACCACCCAACCAGTGTGGGGAAGAGTTAATTTGGGTGTCTCTCTGCACCCTTACCCTTTTGCTCCCTGTCTTCCCTGTGCATGGACCTGCCACCCACCTCCACCTCTTGCTCCCTACAGCTGCCAATATGAACCTGGATCGCATTGGGGAGCAGGCGGAGGCCATGTTTGGAATTGGGTGAGGCCAGGGTTGAGGTTGGGGGTTTGTGTGTGGAGTGGGTGGGTGCTGCTGAATCCTCTTGGGATGGTTGATGGAGTGTTGGAGAGGCTCCCCAGATAGGGGATGATCCCTCCCTCCTCTGTCATCCCCTCAAGGCCCTTACCAGACTCTGGGGCAGGGGTGTTCCTGGCTTTGTGCTTTGACCCTTCCTTGCCTGCCAGCCCGAGTGATACAGGGGCCCCTGGACCCCAGGTCATCCCCCTGACTCTGCTCGGGCACTGGCGCCTCTGTGTGAATCAGGATTTGAGCCAGGTAGCTGGGAGGATCCCTCAGAGCAGGGAGGAGGTTAATCCGTTTTTGTGCCATGCCCGTGGCATCCACTGAATGCTTTGGACCCTTCTCAGAATGTTTAATTTTTAAATTCATAAAATGAAATCTGTAAAATTACAAAGGATGCAGTTGGCACCGAGATACATACAAATGGCACCGAGATACAGTTATCAAAATATTGAAGAAAACAAGTTTGAAGTGACAGTTATATATGTGCCTCTTTATTAACACATTAAATCACAGGCTGCTCCGGCAGGTGTAATTAGTACCATTACTTTGTGATAATGATGAATGTAAACGATATTTTGTGATTTCTGCAACAACTCCAAGGTGATGTGAAAACACCTGTGTCTTTTATTGGTGACAAAGTCACAGTTACCTCTAATTTTTTTTCCCTCGAGGGCGATTTTGGTTAGAGGCTGGTAAAAATAGATGTGATTCCTCCATCTCTGCTTGTGGCCCCAGCCTCTATCCATGAACTCCCTTGTGGGGTGGGGGGCAGGAGGCCATAGGAAATCCCATAGGAAAAGTCCCCGTGCCAGCTGCTTAATCAAGGAGAGCCTTGCCAGCCCCAGTGACACTGGTCTCTCAGGGCATGTGGGGGTCACTTGGGGCCCTCAGGGCAGTGGCAGTTTATAGACCGGGTAGTGATTTTAGAAATATGACAGCGGGCGCTGCATCTGCTAAATGGGTAGCAGGGGCATGCTTGCCGCCTGGGACAGTAGGTGATGTGCCCACCACGCCCGTACCCTGGCCTGCAGGAAGACAAGCAGCATGCTGGAGGTGGATGACGAGGGCGGCCGCATGTTCCTGCGCGTGCTCATCCACCTGACCATGCACGACTACGCGCCGCTGGTCTCAGGGGCCCTGCAGCTACTCTTCAAGCACTTCAGCCAGCGCCAGGAGGCCATGCACACCTTCAAGCAGGTGCTCCTCACCCCCTGCCCCTCCCTGAGCACCCCATGGCGAGGAGGAGGACTGTGGGGTGGGGGAGGAAGGACTGAGGGGCTTCCTGAGGGCCAGAAGACCTCCTGGCCCTGGACCGAGTAGGCAGGCTGCTTTGGCCACACTAGGACTGGGGATAAACTGAGGCCGGAGCTTGCAACTCACGAGATCTTGATGCACATTTGCAGTTTCTGGCCTTGCTGAGCCCCTTAAAGGGGAGGGCCAGGTCTTGGACACCCATAGCTCTTCTCAGCCTGGCTCCAGGCCTGTCCTCCCTTATGATATGGGCAGCACTTTACAGTTTGCAAGCTATATCCCAGGTACCTTTGCTAAGTGCTTCAAGTCACACCTGGCACACAGTCAGCCCTCAGTCAGGTCTGGGTGAGTTGTCACGTGGTCTCGATAGCCCCCGGGTGCTCTTGGTCACTCAGTCTCTACAAATGGGCATCTGGGGAGGGCACACTGTGTACCAGGCACTGAGCGTTGGGCTCATGTAGTGGGATCCTCAGAGCAGCTGTAGTGACGACGTGGTTACCACTCTCATTCCATTTTACTGAAGGGGGTAATCGAGGTGTGGGGAGATTTCCTCCCTTACCCACTGACCCAGAGCAAGTAAGATGGGAATCTGGGTTCAGGTGTCTCTCAGCCAGCATCCAGTCATCCAGTGTGCTTTGCCTTGGACCCTGCTCAGTGTCCAAGGAAACAAGTGACATGTGACAGAAGTTGGTGAATAGCTGAAGGCTGGTGATGAGGCAACTCAAGACAGGGAGTGCAGGGAGGTCTGTGGCCATCAGGGAAGGCTTCCTGGAGGTGGTGGAGTTATGGCAGGGACATAAGCATTAAGCAGGAGTTGGCTAGGTGCAGAGGAACAGTGGTGGAGCGCAGATTCCAGAGCTAGAGACCTGGAGCAGGGAAGGCACTGGGGGTCTCTATGAGGAGTGCACCCGGGGGTGTCATCTCACCAGCCACACCCATGCTCTACCCTCAGGTGCAGCTGCTGATCTCAGCCCAGGATGTGGAGAACTACAAGGTGATCAAGTCGGAGCTGGACCGGTTGCGGACCATGGTGGAGAAGTCCGAGCTGTGGGTGGACAAGAAGGGCAGTGGCAAGGGCGAGGAGGTGGAGGCAGGCACTGTCAAAGACAAGAAGGAGGTGAGCAGGGCGGCAGGGAGCTGGTTCTCTGTGAGGGCTGGGCTTGGCTGACCTCGACCTCCTGTGCCCCCAGCAGCCCACGGATGAGGAAGGCTTTCTGCACACGCCTGGGGAGAAGAGCAGTGAGAACTACCAGATCGTCAAGGGCGTGAGTGGCCAGGGGACCTCAGGGAGGGGCCCTGCCTGCCTAGGAGGCTCCCCCTGGGGCGGGGCCACAACTGCTTTCCTGCTCTGCTGGCCCCCAGCCTGCAAAATAGACATCTTCCAGCTTTTCCTGCCGAGGGCCAGATGGAATTATTTTAAAGCTGAAGGAATTTAATGAAATTCCATTTCACAGTCATATCTTTGTATTTACTTTTATGGATGAAATTGGGTTTTTAGTGCTTCCCTGCCTTGTCATGATGATCTGATTCATTGGTGTGGCCTCCTTCCCTCTTCCTTCTCTGCTGCGAGCTGGAATTCAGCTGAGATTGGCAGGCACTAGGACCGGCCTGAGATGTGGGCTGGACAGAGGAGGGAAGAGGCTCCATGTTCACCTCTGTGCCCCCCAGATCTTGGAGCGGTTGAATAAGATGTGTGGCGTTGGGGAGCAGATGAGGAAGAAACAGCAACGGCTGCTCAAGAACATGGATGCCCACAAGGTCATGCTGGACCTGCTGCAGATTCCCTACGACAAGGTGACCCCTGACTTCTGACCTCTGATTCCCCAGGGCAGCTTCACCCTGAACCCTGAAATAATAGTAACCCCTAAAGCTGATCTAACCCAGCTTCACCCTGACATTTGACCCTGGCTTGTCCCCACCTTGACCCCTGAATTCAATCTTAGTATCTTCTCACCCCTCATCCTGACCTATTATGATTTGATTTGACCCTAGCTTCACCCTGATTCTTGACCTTGACCCTAACTTCTGTCTCCTTCTCTGGCCTAATCCTGATAATCTCAGCTTCATTTTAACCTTTGACCCTCAGCCTCCTTACCTCAGTCTATGGTGACCCTAGTCTGACCCCAGCTTCTTGACCTGTGATGTCAGCTCTGGCCTCATCTTGGCCCCTGGCCTCATTCTGACTCTTACCCAGAGGTCCCCAGGCCCACTGTGGCTCCTGACTCCAAACTTATCCTCCCTCCTCTCAACCTTTCACTCTGTGCCCCTCACCTTGACTGATCTTGATCTTAACTCACCCTGCCTCTTGATCCTGTCCCCTAACCCTGACCCTTGCTGCCTCCAGCTTCACCTCAACCTTTGATGCTCATCCCCTCACACTTTTTCATTTCCTGACCTGGAAGCCCAGCTTCCACCATGAACCTGTCCCCCTTGCGGTCCCTAGTGCCACACCCTGACCTACCCATGCCTGTCGGGGTGCAGGTTGCAGACCCACCTTCCCTCCTGTGTGGGCCCAGCTCTTTCTCCCCTGTCTGTGCAGAGCGACGCCAAGATGCTAGAGATCCTGCGTTACACACACCAGTTCCTGCAGAAGTTCTGCGCAGGGAATCCCGGCAACCAGGCCCTGCTGCACAAGCACCTGCACCTCTTCCTCACGCCGGGGGTGAGGGCGTGGGCTGGGGCACCTGGTGGGGAGGGTGGGCGGGGCCTTGGCCCCCTTTCTGACTGCCACAGCGCCCACCGCAGCTCCTGGAGGCCGAGACCATGCAGCACATCTTCCTGAACAACTACCAGCTGTGCTCCGAGATCAGCGAGCCGGTGCTGCAGCACTTTGTGCACCTGCTGGCCACCCACGGGCGCCACGTGCAGTACCTGGACTTCCTGCACACTGTCATCAAGGCCGAGGGCAAATATGTCAAGAAGTGCCAGGACATGATCATGACTGAGGTGAGGGCAGGGCTGTGGGGACACGTGGGGACTGGGGTGGCGGGGTGGAGTTGGAGAAGCTGGACAGCTGGTGACAGAAGGAATGGGGTGCTGGGCTGTGGAGGGGGTGCGCAGGAAGAGCCACGGTTACAGAAGTGAGTCTGGTGGAACCTAGGTATGGGCCTAATGGAACTCAGGCCAGTGCCTGTAGAACTTGGGTACCTGATAGAACTCAGGCCTGAAAAAACTCAAGCACTCATTCATTCATCAGTCATTTATTATCATTAATTTAAAAATGATGCTGCTGCGTGCCAAGGACCACTCATACCTGGGGAGTCAGTCCCATGTAATCTCTGGGGCCAGGGTGGGGGGCAGAGTCAGGAACCAGGTCCTGTGGGCTCGTTGCTGGGCCCCAGCCTGGCACATAGTAGGTACTCAGTAAACACCTGTAACTGAAGGCACAGAGGATGAAGAGCTGAGTCTTAGTCTGGGACAGATGTGGTCTCTTCTCACATTGTGGGGCGCAGGGGGAGAAGGAGCAAACACTCAAGTGAGATGAGAGACTCCTTGTACTGGAACTGCTGTCGATGCTAGGTGGTGTTGTTATTATATTCATGTGATAACATAATTGCTGACACCAGAGGGATGCAGCATGTGCTCCCGGAGGGTTTAAATGAACAAGCTGTGGGAGCACAGGGGAGGAGGGGTGAGGGGGATTAGAAAGGACTTTTTGGAGGAGCTGCCTGTGAGATGAGCCCACGTGGGACAGTTTTTCCTAGAGGGACTTTCTGACTCCAGAGCTTGGTGTTCTTGATGGCAGAGGGCCTGAGACATCAGCCTAAGACCCCAAGGGCCAGGGAGCCCCAAGAACTCAGGCAGAGGAGGGTTTTCTTTTTTTTTTTTTAAGATTTATTTATGCATACAAGAGCTGGGGTACAGTCTAGAGATGTGAGGGGTGAGAGGATTCACCAGAGACAGAGTGGGGAACAGAACAGGCAGAAGAACTGAAATACACTGCTGAGGGGAGCAGCGGGCGAGACAGGAGAGGTCTGCTGTGCCATGTGGGTTGCTCCCTGGCCGGCTGGGGATCGAACTCGTGCTGCAGAGGATTGCTTCATAGTGCAGTGCTTAGCCCCTTGCACCACCAGGGAGGCCCCAGAGGAGGGTTTTCTTGAATGTCCTGCACAGGCTGGGGTCAGTCTCAGTCTCCCTGGTGAGCACGGGAGGAAGGGGGACCAGGCCGCTGGACTGAGGCCCCTGACGCCTGCCTCTCGTTTGCAGTTGACCAATGCAGGAGACGATGTTGTTGTGTTCTACAATGACAAGGCCTCACTGGCCCACCTTCTGGACATGATGAAGGCCGCCCGGGATGGTGTGGAGGACCACAGCCCCCTCATGTACCACATCTCCCTGGTGGACCTGTTGGCTGCCTGTGCCGAGGGCAAGAACGTCTACACTGAGATCAAGTGCACCTCCCTGCTGCCCCTGGAGGATGTGGTGTCTGTGGTCACACATGAGGACTGCATCACAGAGGTGGGGCCTGGGAAGGTGGCAGGAGAGAGTTGGGGAGGCTGGGGAGGAGAAGGGCTGGTGGAGCCAGGCCGAGGCAGCCATTCAGCCTGCATGGTGGACGGGAAGAGGGAGGAAAAGGAAAATGGGGAGGTAGACAGGAGCTGGGAGGTGCAGGGCAGGGTGCAAGCAGGGGAGCAGCGGGGAGGTCAGGGAGGAGTTGGTGAAATGCAGCGAAGGCAAACCTGGGCGTGTGGCCCTGCTCATGCCCCCGACCTCCCACCCGGCTGCCCAGGTGAAGATAGCCTACGTGAACTTCGTGAACCACTGCTACGTAGACACGGAGGTGGAGATGAAGGAGATCTACACCAGCAACCACATCTGGACACTCTTTGAGAACTTCACCCTGGACATGGCTCGGGTTCGTCCCTGTGGGAGTGCAGGACTGTGGACTGTGGGGTGCAGTGGACTGTGGGGTCAGGTTGTGGCAGGGGCCCAGGGGGGCTTCTAGAGGTGGGAGTGGCCCTGGGTACTGGACCCCCAGCATCCCTCTTTTCTACCCCAGGTCTGCAGTAAGCGGGAGAAGCGTGTGGCGGACCCCACCCTGGAGAAGTACGTGCTGACTGTCGTGCTGGACACCATCAACGCCTTCTTTAGCTCCCCCTTCTCTGAGAACAGCACCTCCCTGCAGGTGAGCTTCTCCTGCCCTGGCAGCTTTTGGGTAGGGAAGAGGGAAAATCAGAATCTAGAGTCCTTGGAGTGCATAAAGTATAGCAGAAGGACACACAAGTGCGTGTTATTCCTGCCATGTAGCAAATGACCTGGCATTTGGTAGTTTGAAACAGCAAACATTGGGCCTCCCCAGTGGTGCAGCAGTTGAGCGCTGGGTTGCGAAGCTGCCTGCAGCCTCTGCAGCGCCGGTTTGATCCCCGGCTGCTCCCCGGCCACTGGGCGAGGGTCCCACATGGCGCGCAGACCTCTCCTGCCGCCCGCTGCTCCCCTCAGCAGTGTACTTCAGTCCTTCTGCCTACTCTGCTCCCCGCTCTGGCTCTGGTGAACTCTCTCACCCTCCCGCGCTTCTGACTGTGCCCAGTGCTTGTATAAATAAATGAATAGATCTTAAAAAAAAAAAAAAAGAATAAAGCTAATTGTTTAAAAAAAAAAAAACAGCAAACATTATCTGACAGTTTCTGTGGTCAGAAATTACAGTGGGGACTGTACCATATAGAACATATAGGTCTGGTGGATCTGGGTGGTAGGGGGAGGCCGGGCCACGCTGACTCACCAGTGACAAGGTAGGTGGGCACACTCACTGCGGTGGACCGGAGCGCCAGAGCTAAATGAGGCAGACAGCCTCCGAGAGCCTTCCTCATCTGTCTGAGCAGAAAAGCCCCAGGCTGGTGAATGAAGTTTCAGTTGACTGACGGGAAGTGTCATGACCCCTCCGTCAATTCCTAGATTCCCAGACTTGAGCCAGCTTACAGCCTTGAGCCTCTTGAATGAAAGGGACCCAGGATCCCCGAGGAGACAGCCTGCTAGCCTACTTAAATCTTAAAGAAACCCTGGGAGGATACCCAAGAAACTGATAATAGGGGCTACCTACAGGTAGAGAAACTGGGAGTGACATGGGGCTAGTGCTTCTGAGAGCATGAAAGAGTTGTGTCCACTCTTCCAGAAGCCTGGGTTTATTTTGACATGTGTTTTGGTCCTGGGATGCCTTTGGGACTCTGGGACTCAGGTAATTTGTATCAGCTTTCCCTACCTCTCATCAGCCCCAGGGCAGAGTATGAGAGAATGGAGGTGATAGGGTCAAGGGTGGGGAAGACTTGTCAAAGTATGCCCTTTTATAGCCTTCTGGGTTTTGAATCATGTAAATATATCTTCACATTAATTTTTCAAAGAAATTTCTAAAGGAAGAAAAGGGTCAGCAATAGGGCTATAAGCCCTAGGCCTGAACCTTAGGGTTTCCCTGTACAGTTGGGCAGGTTGTGCACTGCTAAAAGGGAAGCTGTTATTTTTTTCCAAACGGGCACAAAAGCAATTGAAAGTTATTGGAGGGTCTGTCCCTTCACCCATGCAGCTTCAGTGGGCCCTGGTTCCTGGGCCAGGGGCTGTCCAGGTTTGGGGTGGGCCAGGCTACAGCCGCGGGTGTGTTATCTCTTGCAGACGCACCAGACGATCGTAGTGCAGCTGTTGCAGTCCACCACACGGCTGCTTGAGTGTCCGTGGCTGCAGCAGCAGCACAAGGGCACTGTGGAGGCCTGCATCCGGACCCTCGCCATGGTGGGTGAGTGTGCCAGGGACGCTGGCTAGCTCCCACCACCTCTCCCCTCCCTCCACCAGAGGGATGCCTGCCCCACAATAAACATATTACCCCTAAGCTTGCCCATCATCTGCTCCATCCCCAGTTGGCTCTCAGTAAATCCTTCTTGGTGTCAAACTGGCATCATGACAATTGAGAGAAGCTATTTTCTCTGAGTCAGTTCTGGGAGGAGGGTGCTGGGTGCCATTCCCCAACCAGAGTTTCTTGTGTTTTTCAAATGGTCTTAGGCAGGAGGGAGCCCTGTAGATTGCTAGGGAGAAGTGGAGAGGGGAGAAAGAAGGTGGGAGAGAGGTGAGGGGGAGTCAGGCTGGAATCAAAGAGGTAGAAAATTACTCTTTTTACCCAAAAAAGGGGGCAAGGGAGCCTTAGCCTAAGTAGGGTCAGAGTTCATTTGCCTGCACTCGAGACCCTCCATCTAGCAGTGCAGCAGCCCTCCTACCTTTCCCCCCACAGCCAAGGGTCGGGCCATCTCGCTGCCCATGGACCTGGATGCCCACATCAGCTTGCTGCTCAGCAGTGGCATCAGTTGTGTAGCTGCCGCCCAGCGGAATGCTTCCAACTACAAGGCCACCACGCGGGCCTTCCCTCGCGTCACCCCCACTGCCAACCAGTGGGACTACAAGAACATCATCGAGAAGCTGCAGGTGGGTGTGGGGAGCTGCTTCAGAAGAGCATGTTCTTGGGAACTGCACCTTCCTGTGCTGCCCGCTCTCCCCAGGGGCTGTGGAGGGCAGGCCTGGGCGGGGACTGAGGAACATCATCCAGGGGCTGCCAGGAGAACCAGTGGCCTGCCAGTAGGGCTGGCACTCACGAAGGGAGTCAAATGCTCCTCATGCCTGACAGCACTTCCAGTTTGTGCAGCGCTCCTTTGTTTACCTTTGGCCTATAGAAGGGGTCCAGTGGGTTATGGTCTTCATGCGTCAGAGGACTGAGGCCCAGAGAGGGCAGGGGGTTTGCCCAAGGTCACACAGAGCTAGAGGAGGGCCTGGGAGAGGAGCCAGGGCTCTGGGCTTCCAGCCAGGAGCTCAGAGCAGACAGAAGTCCTGCCTTGACCAGGGCAGTTCTGTGGGTCCAGGGCCCCACAGACAGGCACTGGACAACCTGGGCAGCCTGCGCCTTGCCTGGCAGTGACTGTCCTGTCCACCCCAGGACATCATCACAGCCCTGGAGGAGCGGCTGAAGCCCCTGGTGCAGGCCGAGCTGTCTGTGCTGGTGGATGTCCTGCACTGGCCTGAGCTGCTCTTCTTGGAGGGCAGTGAGGCCTACCAGCGCTGTGAGAGTGGGGGCTTCCTGTCCAAGTGAGTGGATGCAGGGCTGGGGTGCAAGGGTGGCAGGGGTGCAGCGGCCTGGGACAGAGAAGGGCCCATTGGGTCAGAGGGCCAATAGATAGTGCTCCTGCCTGGGACGGGGCTGGGAGAGGTTAGAGGGAGGCTGGGGGGCTGCCCTGAGCCTGCCCTCCCTCCCCACCCTCCAGGCTGATCCAACATACCAAGGACCTCATGGAGTCGGAAGAGAAGCTGTGTGTCAAGGTGCTGCGGACCCTGCAGCAAATGCTGCTCAAGAAGACCAAGTACGGGGACCGGGTGAGTGCTCAGGCAGGCCCATACCAGGTGGCCTGGCCAGGAGGGTCCAGGACCATCAGGCCAATCTGTAAGTGGTAAAATGTGTCACTGTGGATTTCGTTCCTGTCCCCCCAGGGCAACCAGCTGCGCAAGATGCTGCTACAAAACTACCTCCAGAATCGGAAGTCCAGCTCGAGGGGGGACCTTCCAGACCCCATGGGCACTGGTCAGTGTTGCCTTCCCCTTGCCTTGCCTTCAGGTGTCCCCTTTCACCCAAGCCTTGGGCCCTCCCTTCTGCTCTCCCAGCCCTACTAGCTCCCCCTCAAGTGAGTTCCCCCACTCCAGGCCTGGACCAAGACTGGTCTGCAATCGCAGCCACCCAGTGCCGCCTGGACAAAGAGGGGGCCACCAAGCTGGTGTGTGACCTCATTACCAGCACCAAGAATGAGAAGATCTTCCAGGAGAGCATCGGCCTGGCCATCCGCCTGCTGGACGGAGGCAACACCGAGATCCAGGTGAGGAGAGGCTGTGGGGCTTGGTGCTCACCTCCTTCGGGTGGGTGTTTCCTGCTCAGGACAGGGGGCACAGTGGCTAAGTCCTGAGGAGGTAGGGCATGGCCACAGGCCTGGGTGCTGGTCACCCCCTTTTCTCCAGCCGGGCCTGAGCGTGTCTCCCCACCATCCTGCCCCCTACTATGATGTCCACTCATTCCTGCCCCCAGTGTCTGCTCAGACCTCCTTCCTCTTCCACTTCCTCCTCAGTCTTTACGGCCCAACTAAAGACCTGCTTTTTCCAAACAGCCCTGTCTGATGCTTTGTTTTCATCCATTCGCTCATTCAGTCTTTCAGTAGGCCCAAGCTGAGAGCTTTCTGTGTGCCTGGCAGTGTTCTAGGCACTAAGGATTCAGCAGTGAATTAGAAAGGCAAAACCTATGTTCTCTTGGTACTTACCTTCAGTGGAGACGACAGCCTGTAAATGTAATCGCTGTGTAATATGGAGAGCATGTCGGACGGTAATTCAGGCGAGGGGCTTAGGGAGCACTGGGGCAGGGAGGTCTTAGAGTGATCAGGAACACTTTGATGAGGATCTGGAGGTGAGCAGTGGACTGGGGGGCCGGTCACACAGCAGAGCAGGAAGTCAGTGCAGAGGCCATGGAGGGGAAGTGGCCGATGAGGCTGGCGGGCGAGCGGTTGACCTGGGTTCAGAGAGGTGGCAGCTTGGGCACCAGGCAGCATGGCTTTTCCTCTGGGGAGATGGAGCCACCACAGGGTGTCCAGCAGAGGAGGGACAGACTTAGGCTTCAAAGGGATCCCTCTGGCTGCTAATTCAAGGCCAAGGCAGACAAAGGAGAAGGTTAGGAGGTGGTGCAGGACTCGGACCTCAGTTACAGCAGTTACAGGCCCTTCGAGTGCTCCCCACCCCGGCCCTCATCACAGGGCACAGGGGTATCATCTCCCCCGGCCTCATTCTGGTTTGGGTGTTCCCGGGGCCCTCTGAGGTCTTACCAAGGGTTGCTTAGAGCTACACCCAGTGCTGAGGCTGCCCCCATCTCACTGTCCACCCCCAGAAATCCTTCTACAACCTGATGACGAGCGACAAGAAGTCAGAACGATTCTTCAAGGTGCTGCATGACCGCATGAAGCGGGCCCAGCAGGAGACCAAGTCCACGGTGGCCGTCAACATGAGCGACCTGGGCAGCCAGCCACACGAGGACCGGGAACCGGCAGACCCCTCCGCCAAAGGTCAGGGTAGGGTGTGGATATAGGAACACAGAAGTCGCTGGGCAGGCCAGAGGGTGCAGGGTGAGGGGGATAAGGGTGCAGGCAAGATGCGCAGGCGGGGGACTAGTGGTGGGAACACAGGGTAAGGGTGAGGTTCTGGCTGCCCCCAGCGGCCTCAGCCTGACAGGCCTCACCCCGTAGGCCGCGTGGCCTCCTTCTCCATGCCCGGCTCCTCGTCCCGCTATTCACTGAGCCCCAGCCTGCGCCGGGGGCATGAGGTGGGCGAGCGCGTGCAGAGCAACGAGATGGGCATGGCCGTGCTCATTATGCAGCCCATCCTGCGCTTCCTGCAGCTGCTGTGCGAGAACCACAACCGGGACCTGCAGGTGAGCCCCTCGCCGCACACCTGCCCCCTCATCTGGCCTGGGCACCACTGTTCTCTGCTGCCAGCCCCCTGCCCCCACACACGCAGCAGCTGCTCCTCAGTGGGCTTCCGCTTCCCGCTCCCCCTGAGCCCTGCGGCTCACACCCTCTGCGCTCCACAGAACTTCTTGCGCTGTCAGAACAACAAAACCAACTACAACCTGGTGTGCGAGACCCTGCAGTTCCTGGACATCATGTGCGGCAGCACCACGGGAGGCCTGGGGCTGCTGGGGCTCTACATCAATGAGGACAACGTGGGCCTTGTCATCCAGACCCTGGAGACCCTCACCGAGTACTGTCAGGGCCCCTGCCACGAGAACCAGGTGGGCGGTGTGGCAGCGTGAGCAGCAGCAGTGGCGGCTTGGTGGCGGCTTGGGTGGGTGGGTGGAGCAGGCTGGGCAGGGGAGAGGCTGAGCCTCTGGAGCCATCATGATTCTGAGGGGCCTGGACCTCCATATCCCCCATCGCTTCCTGCCAGACCTGCATTGTGACCCACGAGTCCAACGGCATAGACATCATCACTGCGCTGATTCTCAACGACATCAGTCCCCTGTGCAAGTACCGGATGGATCTGGTGCTGCAACTTAAGGTGGGGCCTGGGGGTGGCCCACGTGGGTGTGCATGGGGTGCCTGTGACATGTGTGTCGAGTGTGCATGCTGGGGTGTGTGACATTAGCATTGTGTGTGTACAGTGTGTGCTCACGTGTATAAGCACGTGACGATGCGTGCGGGTTGCCTGTGTGTGATGTGCACACTTGTGTGTACACGTGAGTGTGTGAGCAGGCGTGCTGGACGTCCTGCCTCCCTCCTTCCCCAGGACAATGCCTCGAAGCTGCTCCTGGCTCTGATGGAGAGCAGGCATGACAGTGAAAATGCTGAGCGAATCCTCATCAGCCTGCGGCCCCAGGAGCTGGTGAGGCTGGGTTACCAGGAAGGCGGGACGGTGCTCCTGGGTAGAGTGTGTGGGCCTAGAGATTGGGTCCCGATGCCCCAGGAAAAGGGCATTCGAGCCAGTACTGCCCACCAGGTGGACGTCATCAAGAAGGCCTACCTGCAGGAGGAGGAGCGGGAGAACTCGGAGGTGAGCCCACGTGAAGTGGGCCACAACATCTACATCCTGGCACTGCAGGTCCGGCCCCACGCCCAGGCCCCGCCCCTAGAGGTCAGGTCCACCAGAGACCACGCCCCGTGACCACGCCCCCTCTGCTCAGCTCTCCAGGCACAACAAACAGCTGCAGCACCTGCTGAAGCCAGTGAAGCGCATCCAAGAGGAAGAGGCTGAGGGCATCTCTTCCATGGTGGGGACCCTAACTTGGTTGGGGTTTAGGGGCGTGGCTAGCGGGAGTTGGATGTGCTGTTAACTAGGAATTGAGGGAGGGGTTCTGACTCCTGGGGTGGAGATGAACGCTGAGACACCGGGAGTCCGGGATGTGTCCTCGCCTCCGGGTGAGGCTCCTGCACAAGGCCGTGGACCTGATAAAGAGCTAGGCTCTGCGAGCTCGGCTAGAACTGGGGAGGGGGTCTCAACACTATTCCCTTTGGGTGGAATCCCACCTTGCCACGTGAGATGAAACCCAGACTTTAAGGTGGGAGCAAGGCCTGGCAGGCCCAGGGCCGGCCTGGAAGCCCGGAGCCTAGAGCAGGACCTAGTTGACATCTGGGCAGGACTGACAGACACTGACTGTCCTATAGATTGTCTGGATGTGGCACTCCTGCTCCTCCCTCCCCCTTGGGGCTCCTCAGTTGGCCTGCACTGGGTCTTGGCTGGGTGTGGGGGGAGCTCACAGGGTGTAGTTCAGAGCTGGGCTCAGGACTAGCGGTGGGGGGCTGCCAGGCCTGACCTCAGCACCCTCCCCACCCCCAGCTCAGCCTCAACAACAAGCAGCTGTCCCAGATGCTCAAGTCTTCTGCGCCGGCCCAAGAGGAGGAGGAGGACCCCTTGGCTTACTACGAGAACCACACGTCCCAGATCGAGGTGAGCCTGAGGGCAGGGTGCTGAGGGGGTGAGCGCCGCCGCGGGGCATGGTACGCGTGTGACCTCTGTGTGTGACCTCTGCGTGTGACCACTGCATGTGCACCCAGATCGTGCGGCAGGACCGCAGCATGGAGCAGATCGTGTTCCCAGTGCCTGGCATCTGCGAGTTCCTGACAGAGGAGACCAAACACCGGCTCTTCACCACCACCGAGCAGGATGAACAGGGCAGCAAAGTGAGCGACTTCTTCGACCAGTCCTCCTTCCTGCACAACGAGATGGAGTGGCAGCGCAAGCTCCGCAGTGAGGACCCCTTGGGCCGGGGGGCCGGCTGGGACCGCCCACTGATGCCACCCCCCAAACCCCAGCAGGCCTCCAGCCTCCCTCTCCTCCTGAAGGGGTGCCTGAAGCTGTGTGGGCAGTGAGGGCCCAGGTGGGGTGCGCAGATGGTGTGAGCCAGGCGCCCCCCCTTACTCCAGCCTGCCACACCCCTCCCCCAGGCATGCCGCTGATCTACTGGTTCTCCCGCCGCATGACGCTGTGGGGCAGCATCTCCTTCAATCTGGCAGTTGTCATCAACATCATCATCGCCTTTTTCTATCCCTATGTAGAGGGCGCGTCCACTGGTGAGGACACGGGCCCCGGGAGTCCACCCTGCCCCTTCCCTGGGTTTCGGGTCAGCCAGGCTCTGAGGGGCACAGATGCAGAGTGGAGAGAAACCCCTGCGTTGCCCCCTGGGTTCTGCACCTTGGCATGGAGAGAAACGGAGTGGTCCCGCGGGACGGATAGCGTCCCTGGTCCCTGCAGACAGCGCCTGTGTGTGCGCACCCGAGCCAGAGACCAGCTGGGGTGGCAGCAGCTGCGGGGCCTCCCGCGCCAGGTTTAGAGGTACAGGTGTGTTAGGGTGGGGGCCAAGCCAGGTGATCAGGAACTTAATAGCAAAGGGATGGGGTGTGTTGGGGCTGCGGTGGGCTTGAACAAGTGGCGCTCATGCCGTCTCCCCGGCTCCCAGGCGTGCTGGGCTCCCCGCTCATCTCACTGCTCTTCTGGATCCTCATCTGCTTCTCCATCGCGGCCCTGTTCACCAAGCGCTACAGTATCCGCCCCCTCATTTTGGCGCTCATCCTGCGCTCCATCTACTACCTGGGCATTGGGCCCACGCTCAACATCCTGGGTGCCCTCAACGTGAGTGCCAGAGCGAGCCCCACGCCCAGCCACCCCTTGCTTATCCCACAGACACTCCTGGCGCTGGCCTGCTGCCTCCCAGCAGTCATTGCTTGGGCCCGTCCCCCTCATCCCTGTGTTGGGATCCCAAGCTTGTTATAGACCCTCAGTCAGGACCACTCTGTCTCCTCCGGCTCCCTGGGCACCTGGGGCGCTGGCATTCAGAGCCAGCCAGCCATCCAGGGGTCACTGTGGAACACCAGTTCAGGCTGCTGAAGCACTGGTTAGTTGTGCGCTGCCTGAAGGCCCTATTTACATTGTAGACACCAAAGATTTGTATATTTTGACAATTTCCTGAAGGATGGAAATGAAGTGCTTTGAGCAGTGGGCACCAGGTGCATTTCTGGAACATTTTCATTCATGCTGTGTCTGCAGGTTGAGTAGGATCAGCTCAGATTCACTCCATGGAAGACCTGCCTGCCGAGCTGGGCACTGGGTGGCTATGGTGGCAGGGGTGGAGGTTCAGGGCGGGTGGTGGGGTACTGACCTCCATGCTCTGCACTCACCCCCAGCTGACCAACAAGATCGTGTTCGTGGTGAGCTTTGTGGGCAACCGTGGCACTTTCATCCGGGGTTATAAGGCCATGGTCATGGACATGGAGTTCCTCTACCACGTGGGCTACATCCTGACTAGTGTTCTAGGCCTCTTTGCACATGAGCTCTTCTACAGCATCCTGGTGAGGCACTTGGGGGGGTCACTTGGGGGTGCTTGGGTGGTTGGGGCTTCTTGCAAGTTGCTATGGGTTCCCCAGAACCATTTTTGTCAATTCCTCTTGCTGCTGGGCTTGGGGGGCATGGATTGCCAGACTCCAGCCTGGTCTTTGGGCCATTCCAGGCCCCCGTCTGACCCATTCTCCCTGCACAGGTTTAAGGCTGGGCTCTAGAGCCAGACCACCTGGGTTTGCTTCCCAGCTCTATAGTTTTGGGCAATTTTCATAACTGCCCCATGCCTCAGTTTCCCCATCTCTAAAGTGGAGCTCATAGACAGCATCTACCTGCTATTCTAGAAGTAGAGTGATTGTGAAGATGAAATGAACTGATGCACAAAAATTACATCGAATGTTTCCTGGCACATGGCTAGTGTGATGAGTTGGTTATTCTTGCCTGTCTGTGTGGTGTTCGCCTGCCTATTCCACCCCTCAGGCCTGCTCCTCAGGCCATTTCCTCTCCTTGGCATCAACAATCCAGGTTCCTCTGAGAAGCCTCCCCTGGAACCCCCTCCCCCAGCCTGGGTACGCCTTCCCACCCGTAGACCCTACAGAGGAGGCTGTGGCCTGGGCGGCCCTGTGTCCATTGGTGTTCCAGCCCCTTAAGGCCCTGTCCCTCTCCACAGCTCTTTGATCTCATCTATCGTGAGGAGACACTGTTCAATGTCATCAAGAGTGTGACCCGCAATGGCCGTTCCATCCTGCTGACCGCCCTGCTGGCCCTCATCCTGGTCTACCTCTTCTCCATCGTCGGCTTCCTCTTCCTCAAGGATGACTTCATCCTAGAGGTTGACCGGCTGCACAGCAACCACTCTCGAGGTCTGGGCTCCTCTCCTGGGTGAGGTGGGGACGAGAGGGTCCGGTCTGCGCAGGCACTGGTGCCGGGACCGGGAGTGGTCTTCCACCTGGCAGCGAGCCCCGGGGTTCTGGGGAGGCCTGGCTTGCACCAGTCTGCTTCCCTCTCAGGCGGGACAGCGTTGGGTCTCTGGTGGTCTTGCTTACAGACCACCATGCATGTTAAACTCAGTATTTGCAAATCCCCTCTCCCGTCCATTAGTGCTCAGCCCTGAGGGGGCAGGGGCCTGAAGACCCCTCACTTGTAGCCAGACAGAGTGGGGAGCTGGCAGGATCAGGGAAGGCTCCCTGGAGGATGGGCATCGAACCAGTGGGATGCCAGGGCCAGGCATTTGGACCCTCTGATGATCTCATCCATGGCCCCTCCAGCCAGCCCCCTGGGGATGACACACGGAGCCGCCGCATTTATGGGCACGTGCAGCAGGGACAACGAGGACTGTGTCTCGGGGGTCTCAGTGCCTGAGATCCTGGAAGGTGAGGGCAATATCCTTGGGAGTCCTGCTGGGGAGGGGGCAGAGGCAGGTGGCCTGGCCAGGGGATGAGCACACTCTTGGCTCACAGAGGACGAGGAGCTGGACGGCACCGAGCGGGCCTGTGACACTCTGCTGATGTGCATCGTCACTGTCATGAACCACGGGCTGCGCAATGGTGGTGGCGTGGGCGACATTCTCCGCAAGCCCTCCAAAGATGTGAGCACCCTGCCCCACCCCAGGTCCACCTGGCCTGGGCCCTGTTCTGGCAGCCCTCGTGAGGGCCTTTGTCGGTCATGGGGACGGGAAGCGGGACAATCACTTTTCGGTGTGGCAGCTCCCACCCACTGGCACTCTCACCCGCTCCACGTGCTGCCACGCTGATGGGCGCTGGGCCCACCTGTCTGCTCATACACCCACCAGCTCTGCACAGATGCGCTAAGGAAAGACCTTGGCCCCCCCAGCTTTGCCCAGGCTGAGGTGTGCGTCAGACAGGGGCCGCATCCCCAGCTTCATCTGCGAGGCAGAGCCCAGCCCACCTCAGGGGGGAGACCAAGATGGGGGGAACTGGGTCAGTTTCTTAAAGCAGCCTTGGCACTTGGCTTGGGCAGCCCAACGTTTCCAGGACATTAGTCTGTCCTAGTTACATGGAGGTGAGAAGCCACTGACATCTCCCTGGCCATTCAGGGTTTTTAGGATGTGTGAAGCCACTTGTCCAGAGGGTCGAGGCGTTCAGAGCTGGCTTGCCGCCTGACCAGGAGTGAGGGGCAGTCACGAGCCTAGACCCACACCGCAACCCTGCTACAGGGCTTCATGCCAGCTGGTATCCTGAGCCCACCATTTCCTAATCCACACTCAGGCGTCGGGTTTGGATTCTTGCTCTGTGGAGTAGGGCTGGGCCCTCTCTGCCATCTCCATGGCCCTAGGAGCCAGAAGTACTCATTCCCTTCTGCTGCGGGCTGGGCCCCCTTTATCCTTGCGCTGACCCTCACCTGAGTTCTGCCTTCCCCTGTGAACTGGGGGGCTGCTGGGCCCAGACTCCCTGCCTCCCCCCTGCAGGAATCTCTCTTCCCGGCCCGTGTGATCTACGACCTCCTGTTCTTCTTCATCGTCATCATCATCGTGCTGAATCTGATCTTTGGGGTGATCATCGACACCTTTGCGGACCTACGCAGTGAGAAGCAGAAAAAGGAGGAGATTCTTAAGACCACGTGCTTCATCTGTGGTGAGGCCTGATTTCTGCCCCGTGGAAGCCGCAGAGGGGCTGGGCTGGATGTGGGTTTGACCTCTGTGGTCTGGCTCGTGGCAACCTCAGTGTGGCCCTTCCAGGGTCTGTGGCCACTAGGGACCCTGCCCTGGGGCTGATGGCCTGACGGCTATTCGCTTATCCTCGAATTAGGGGAGAACTAGGGGTAACAGAAGGTCTTGGAAAAGGGACTCAGAAACCTTTCCTTTAGACGCTCTTGGTTCATGGATGAGGGCACTGAAGCCCGGCCCTGGTGTGAAGTGTCTGTGACCTGTCGGACAAACCCCTTACCCAGCTATTCCTGCTCCGCGGCTCTCGAGGCCTCCGCGCGTGCCGCCGTGGTCCTCTGCTGTCACTGTGGAGGCTGCAGCTGTGGCGGGGCGGGATCTCCACGGCTAAGTGGCTGGTGCTTTAAATAGAAATGACCCAAATAGCTCAAAGAGGCCATCGCAGGCGCGCATCAGGCCTAGCCCCAGGCCGAAGGTCCCCTCTGCATCAGGAATTGGTGTCCGCTCCGCCAGGCGCTGCGCGGCGGCTCGTGGAGGCCAATTGTTCACCCCTGCTCTCTGCACCCCCAGGTCTGGAGAGGGACAAGTTTGATAACAAGACGGTGTCGTTTGAGGAGCACATCAAGTTTGAGCACAACATGTGGAACTACCTGTACTTCATCGTGCTGGTCCGGGTGAAAAACAAGACGGACTACACGGGCCCGGAGAGCTACGTGGCCCAGATGATTAAGGTGCGGCTGGGAGGAGCGGCTCCGTCCGCCTGCGCTCACCCACTCACCGGGAGCCGGGTGGGGGCCAGCTGCGGACACTTGCTGAAAGGCCAGCAGGAGCGGAGGAGCAGCTGGCGCCAGCCCTCAGCTGCACAGGAGCCCCGCCAGCTGCCTGAGCGGCCGAGGCGCCTCCTCGTTCTCTGCTCGGACTTGGGTGTCAGGAAAAATCCCCCAGCAAACCTGTCGGTCCCAGAGATCGTGAGTGTGTCCCTGGGGTGCGTGATGCTGAGGCAGTGGGGGAGCAGCTGGCCTCCCTGTGGACCCTTCCACGGGGCCTTTTCAGCTCAGCGAGAGGGAAGGCAGCTTCCTGCAGCCTGGATGGTCTCAGGCTGAGAGAGCCCGGTAAACTACCAACCTTTGGAAAAATCACTTAATCTGTCCAATTTCTATAGTAACGCGCATTGAGTAGTAAGAAAAGGTCTTATAGGATTTAAGGTAAAGGAAGCCCTTCATTTCCATCAAAAGTGCACCTTCAGATCTGTGCATGGCAGGTAAATTGCAGGCTTAAAGGAAAGGTCTATTTAGTGAAGGGGTGGAGGGGCAAGGAGTTCTGCTTGTTACTTTAAGTCCACCATGTGAACTGATCTGAGTGCGGGTTGGCTGTTGGTCTGAGAATTCATAGCTTGTGACAAGGAACCAGAAAGCTGCTTGTGCCTCCGCCCGCTCCTCCCATGGCCTGGGAAACGTGGCTCAGCCTCTCAGACACATGTCAGCCGTAGCCTGCCTTCCCTCAGTGCCATCTGACTCGTGTCTTCCTGGGGTGTGGGGCGTGCGTGTCGGGCAGGGCGGGGAGGAAGGAAGGAAGGAGATTTGGGGTCTGGGTGCAGAGGCCTTCCCCCCACCTCTTGAGGGTGTTGTGAGAGTAAACAGATGGTGCTGATACCAGCGAGAGACTTGAGGCCACCCAGCGGAAGTCAGCCTGTCAGCCTGCCCCAGACGGCAGCCCCCACACCCTGAGCCTCAGCTGCCAGCTCGCCCCAGGCCTGGTCAAGTCACACTTTTCCATGACATCCCTGGGGAGTCATTTTGTCAAGGGTGTGGCAGAAGGCTCCCCCAGCATTGCTGCTTTTCTGAGCGAGGCCTCTCTAGATCGGGTCTGGCTTGCTCACTGCACTGTTGATCTTTTTCAGAATAAGAACCTGGATTGGTTCCCCCGGATGAGGGCCATGTCCCTAGTGAGCAACGAAGGGGAGGGGGAGCAGAACGAGATCCGGATTCTTCAGGATAAGCTCAGCTCCACCATGAAGCTGGTGTCCCACCTCACTGCTCAGCTCAACGAGCTCAAGGAGCAGGTGTGCACCCCGCCCTGGCCTGGCCCCACCTCGGGGGGGGGTCCTACGCTGGCAGCCTCAGATGGTTACTGAGCCCTCCATGTCGGGGGAGGAGGAGGGTGCTGGGCCTTCCTGCTCCTCCTGCCCCCCTTTTCTGCTGTTCTGGGATGAAAGGTTCCAAACACCGCTCTGTGGGAAGCTAGACTGGGGTTGGCAGCACTGCTACCCCTCCCCCTCCCCCTCCCCTGCCCCTGATGCCTAGCAGCTGCTAGGGTCCCTCCCAGGGTTTGCTGATGAGGGATGGGAGAGGTAAAGGCATCTTTCTGCTTCTCAAGACCCCCTCTTGTCCAGAGCATCTTCCATCTGGAAGTGACTAAATGAGATTAGTAGGCCCTCTTTTAGGTGGGGTGGTTTCCCAGCTGCACCAAATCATGGGTTTGTGACAAGCTAATTGAGGATGAGGGTTTGGGGCTGACATCCTGGCTGCACCCTGAGGGCCTTGGCCTGCCGCCAGCTCTGATCGCAGCTGGGTTTTCCGGGGCTGGTGGGCGCCAGCCTTTCTGCCATGCCTGTGGAGGGAAGGCCCGGCCCGCCTGACCCGACCCGTCGGCGTCTGTTTAACCCTAGATGACAGAGCAGCGGAAGCGGAGGCAGCGCCTGGGCTTTGTGGATGTGCAGAACTGCATAAGCCGCTGAAGGCCACCGAAGGCGCCACCGGGATGCCAGTGACTGGAGAGCGGTGCCTGCGACACTGCCCCTTCCCTTGGGTCTGGGGCCCAGCCCTGCCCACCTCTTGAGGCTAGGTGCCCACCCAGCCTGCAGCTCCTACTCTGCAGACCCCTCCAGCCCACCAGGCTCTGACCAGCTCGGAGGGGAACCAGAGTTGATAGTCCTGCCCAGAGCCCTTGAAAGACTCAGAATCGCACTGGGATTCAGTTCACCTTAATGCCTTAGAGGAGGATGCGTCCTCTTAAAGGACTCTCGCCGTGTCCCTTAAAGCAATAACTGATATTCCTTTGTTATTCCTCCTTGTGGGTGATTAGGAGTGGGGTCACCTCTTTATTCCAAGCACTACATTTTGGCTCTGCCCCCCTCTGAGGGAGGGCAGTAATGCTGTTGCTAGTCATTTTAGGGCTGTTATTTAACTTATTCATGGGCGCCGTGCTCAGCCTGCCCACGGCCTCGTGGCTCCTTCCTGCCTCAGGTCTGCCGTGGACAGTGTTAGACATCACTGTCCATGTCCAGGCCACCTCCTCTGGCACGGCCTCTGGGGGACTGGTGACCCAAGGATGGAGTCTTGTTCCCAGACCTGCTTCCTGGGGAAGAGTCACATGCCCAGGTGGCAGGGCTGGGGTGTGTCACAATGGCTGGTTATTGACTGCTTAATTTTTTCCCCTTTTGGTGTAATGTTTTACAAATCCTTTGGCCTGACAACTAATGTTAATTGCCATAAATAAATTAATAGGAATCCAGTCCATGAAAAAGGAGTGCTGTTTCCTGTACTCCCATGGGCTGTGGGATCAGTGTGGCACTGTGGCACCCTGATGGCACAGGACACCAGCCCTTGCCTGCCAGCCTCCCTTCCCTCCCACTGGGCTCTGGGGAGATGCCCTGAGTGACATCCGCCTTGCTAATTCCTGGGCAGAAACCAGTTATACTGGTTTCTGCCGGGATCCTATGTATTCTATTTCATGCATCTCACATATTTGGGGAGTCTGGGTACAAACAAGGTGAAGAACCCAGTTCCACTTCTCCCTGGTGAGGGGAGCTGTTGGCCCCTGCCCTACCCTTTCTCTCAAGTCTGTTCTTGCCAGAAGCCGGTGCAAATAGGGAATGTGAATGTCTACCAGAAAGAGCTCAGGCTCTTGGGTGCGGGGTAATAACGTGACCCTCTGCTGGCCCCTGGCGAGGAGGCCGCTGTCCTGTGGCTTCCCTCGGAACCCGCCCACAGTACTGAAGCCAACCGCAGCCCAAGGCCCCTGTTGACCAAGGCCTGTGTGTAGCTCTACTCTGTCCATTAAGCCAACTTGGAACGAGGGTATTTTGCAAGGTCAGGAGCAGAGGACGTGCTCCATGCTTCTGAGTCAGAGGAGGCCAAGCGGGCTCTCTCATCTCCCTGCCATACCACCTCCTGCTGCTTTCTGTTTGCAACAGGATGCCTTTTTCAATATTTACTGCTATTTTTGGCCCTCTCCCAGGAGCTCCTACAATAAAAGGGAGCCTGAGAATCTTGCCGGGAGCCAGTCAGGCCCCCGTTGGCAGGTGGGGCTCCCTTGGCCCTTCAGGAAGCACCTTCCCTTCTCAGGCCCGGAGACCAAAGTTTCCTCTCCCTGGGAGACTTCTCTACCCTGACCGGTGGGTGGGGCCGAGGCTCCATGGCATCCTTTCTCAGGCTGAACTTTCTTCAGAGCAATAAGGGCTTCCTTTTAGTGAGGGCTAAATGAGCTTCCCAAACCACGAGGATGGGGCGGTCAGGGCAGTTTTATTGATGGTGGTGGCACATAAGACCCTGTGCTTAGGTACGTGGGCGAGACAAGGACTTGACCCAGTCCTTTTCCTTCTCAGAACTCCTGGGGGCAAACTTCTCCTGCAGTTTCTTCCACATGCCTTTGTTCATTTCCTTAAACTCTTCCAAGGTATCTGCAAAGGGGAAGACCAAAAAAAAAAAGTCTAAAATTCGGTTATGTACATTGGCCCTGCAGAGCTTTCACCACACAAGCACGGCTCACCCGTCACACAGTGTGTTCCTAAAAAGGGGAAGTGTAAACCCCACTTCTGATAAGCAAATCAGATAGGCTAATGGAAAATTAACTGCTAGTGTGAGCCAAGCACTTGTTTACCAGGGCTGCACCACGGCACACAGCATCCGCACAGCGGCCCTGCGCCACTCGGTGTCCGAGCAGGGCCCTCGCTGCCCTGTTCCACGTGAACGGGCTAAGAAGTAGTATTGGAGCCCGCAGGCCCAGATGCTTTCTCTCAGAACCTGGCCTACCCCACAAGGACCTATCTCCATTTTTCAGATACGAAAACGGATGCTTAGGGAGGTTCAGTACCTTACTCTGCACACATGCTGTGGAGCTGAGCAGGCACCAGAGAGGCAGAAAGACCTGGGCCAAGTCCCCACCCCTCATTTCCCATTGGGTCCCCATATACAAATTACTTAACCCCCTGAGTCTCAGGTTCCTCATATGTAAAATGGAGATAAAAATAACTGCCTCAAAACCTGTGAAGATGAAAGGAAATGACAGTAACTTGCCTGGCACCTCGCCTGCACTCAAGAAAAGCTGGCCATCTTCACAGCTATGGTGGCAGGAGGGAGCTAGTGGCCCTTGTTTAAGAACCCCGACAGAGGGACACACATACACCACGCCACCCGGCTGCTGCCCATCCACACCCACACCACACCCACCTCAAAAGAACCCAAGCAGGGTTTCTCAGCACCACTGACATTTTGGGTCAGATGAGCCCGTTGTGGGGCTGCACTGTGACTGTAGGACATTTGGCAGCACCTTGGCCTCTACCCACGGGATGCTGGGCTCCCCTCCCCCACCCCTAGCTGTGACAACTGAAAATGCCTCCAGACACTGCACATGTCCCCTCAGAGGCAATCCCTAGTTAGAATCACTGGTCTAAAGCCTCTCCAGGGATAAACTTCTGTGACACCTAATTTTATTTATATTTCAAATTTAGATTTTCAAAGAAATGTTTAAATTTTATTGCCGGAATTTTCATCTGTTAAAACTGGAGAAGAGTAGCTGTTATGAACAGAAAAACTTAAGTGTTTATTAATAGTCAGTGGGCTCCTCATTAAAAGGACATGCACTATACCTCAGCCATGAGCCCAGCATCTCCCCTGGGACTCTGCCAGGAGCCCAAGATCTCTAATGGGGCACAAAATTGCATGCAGAGAGCACCCTGTCCACCTGCAAGCCACAAGGCCTCTTAGGGTCTCCTATGACCCAGCCTGGGCTGTGGCCACATTTCAGACTTGCCTGGCCCTCAAATCCTCTCATTACAAACACTGCAAGGTGCATCTCTGTCCTGTTAGAGGAGACACTCAGGAAGCTAATTCCACATGGTCGCAACAAAAACATGAAGCTTGCTGTGAAAACAAATTATCAGCAAATTTCCTGGAGCTGAACTCCCAGCCTGAATAAGCTACAGCATGGGCCAATGGTGGGGAGTCTTACATCTCCTCCTTTGCTGTGGCCTATTCTCTGCCTCCCCCAGCTCAGAGGCATCGCTGAGGGTTAACAGAGGGCAGAGGCAGGGTCTCCAGAAGTCACATCCATTGTAAAATTAAGTTTACACTCTGCTCAGACTCTTGGGGCCTCACAATGACATCGTACATCAATGCTGGTAATTATAGTGGCCTAGGGGCCTAGGTGTGTGTGTATTTAAAATTGCCATTAAAGTGATTTTGTCTGGCCCAAATATCTTCACCCCAGTTTTCCAGAGAGTTGCTACTATAATAAAAATAGGATCAGAGTTGACACACAATAACAGGTGACATCACCAGGTTTTAATCTGTTCAGAAGACCTTTCTGGAAGGTCAAATCTCCAAAATTTAGTTGCTGAGGGTTGCCAGGGGAACAGGAAAGAGAAATTTCTAGAGTACCAGAAGGCAGATGTTTCAGGGTTATGCTCCCCTAGAAAAGGTCGGCCTATTTTTGTATATGATAGGTCCTTGGCAATAAAAATAGTAATTTTCCAGAACCTGCCTGTTTCCATCCAGGCTTCTCTGCCATCATTGCCACCTCCTGCTGCAGTGACAATAGAGATGGGGAAGTAGGGAGGGGGTGGGCTAGGCAAGGTACTTCCTTTCTTGTTAGTCAGGGCCTATCAGCAACTTCTAAACATAACTAGTTAAACCCATCTCTAACCCACAGTCTGCATCCCCTGGGTCAGATAACTCCAAGGCGGATATCCCTATAGACATTTATTGAATGGCCTTTTGTTTTAATTAAAACCCTCTTTTATAAAGCCCCTTTAGGACCATAAAAATAAAATTATTTTCCTTCCATTCTGATTTCAACTACTTCCATTTGGCAAATATGTATTCCCCTATTCCCTGCTGCCCGGCCTTGAATTTAAAAGCTCTAAAGATGGATTTTCTGTTTTAAATAATGCCTTTGACCTTCTCCATATCTTATGGCCAAAAAACATGAGCCTCTAGCTTCAGAATTTCCTCTGGGCTATTCCACAAGATTTTCCATCAAGCAAAACCGTCTTATTAGACAATTCCCTGTGGTTGCTCTAACTCAAAGAATCATTCGCAAATCAGCCAGAAAGGGCGGCTGTGCTCTCAATACCTGTGGACAGGATCAGCTTGTATTCTTCCACAGACAGGCCACTGAAGCTCGTGTCTCTGAGCCGAGGGTACTAGCACGTGCAGATGGGAAGAGAAGGGAGGGAGAGAACATGAGTGCTGTGACACAAAGGAGACCCGAAGATCCGGGTGAGCAGCCTTGCTGTAACCACAGGGTAACGACCATGGGGAGTGCAGGCGGAGGCCCCGGAGGGGAAGAGCACCGCCACCTGCAGGCCACAGACGTGGCTTCACAAGAACCTGTATCAGGTTGTGGCTCCCGCCCGAACACCCACATAAATCTCTCAGAAAATACAGGCTGTGATTCAGCAGGACTGGGTGTGGCCCGTGATTCTGCACTTCTAACCAGCTCCCTGGTGCTGCTGCTCCTGGGCCACACCTTGAGTTGAGAGGACTTAGAAGAGCTCCCTTTTCCACGCCATGTATGTGCGGAATTAATGAAAACATTTTCTAAGTCTGGAAAAAAGTAACACTAAATGGAACTGACAGTAATCATGTCAGGGCTGAGGAAAAGCCCCGCTTTGTCTGACGGGACTTTCCCAGTCACCCCATCTTTATCGACAGGGTGCAGGGAATCCAGTTCCATCAGAGTGGATGGGAAAATATGCATGAGCTCTAACAGTTGTCAGAAACACCGGCGAGCACACGTGGCATGTAAAACACAGGCTTTTAATCATAATTAGAAATAGCTTTTATTTAGGTGACCTAAAAGCCTCAGTAAGAGCCTCTAGCAGGCGCCTTTATTGGTTTGGTTGAAATTGCTGGTTACAGCTGAAAGTAGCAAAACTGCAGTTTTTTACAAAACACTGTATAATCACATTTGCACTTGTTCTTATTGGTTGTCTCCAGTCAGAGGCTGGGGATATGACAGAGAGGGGCCCCCTCACCTTGTGTTTGTAATAGTTTGAATGGAGTCTTGCCAAGCTCTCATACATCTCATCACAGGCCTTGGGCTCTGCAATCTGGAAAACAAAAAGCCCCCAAGGAAGTGAGTCAACAAGGCCCGCCTCCCCATTGTATCTGTACCTCAGGGAGGACCCCACTTAAATAAGGCATTCACGCAAATGCAGCTTATCACTGGCCCCTCCGCCATGGGAAGTGATCTTGGCCTACAGTTCTCACTATCAGAAATCACCTTGGCGTCATGGCGCCACCTCATCTACATCCATCCTGCAAACAATCTCCAGTCAACCTGCAAACAGCTGTTGAGCATCTGCAACCTGTGAACCACTATGCCAGCTGAAGTGGGGGACACCACAGTAAAAATATCGGAAGGGCACACCTCATAAAGGGAGTGCTAGGGGCAATGTGGGCAACAAGAAGTCAGAGGACGGGCCCCCACATGCTCGAGTGGTCAGTGAAAGGTGGAGGCTGAGAATAGGCTGGGGCCATGAAGGATGCACAGGAGCTGGGAAGCAGAAGGGCGAGGGTCTCCCTGGTGGCAGGGAGAGTGTGGGCCAGCAGGAGGCAGAGGGGGCTGCTTCAGACCATCTAGTCTGGCCGAGGGCCTGAATATGCAGGTAAAATGCTGGACTGGAGAAAAAGAAAGGCTTTGAGTTAAGTGCTCAATATGAAATGTATTAAATGTTCTTTTATGAAAGGCAAAAAAAAAAAAAAAAATTCACCTGAGCTTTCATCTGTGCTAAGCGAGCTGTTGAAATTTGACAAGGAAACACAAAGAAAGATGAGATAGATGAATTGAGAAGAACCAAGAGTCCAGTGAGATCCTGCTAGAAAGGACAGGCCCAGAACACTTGTGAATAGAAAGGGGGAAATAAAGCCCCGTTCCGGGTGCCCGAGGGCGCGTGTCCCTGCTGGGCCTTCCTGGGGAAGATGGGCCACTGCACAGAGGAGGCGGGTTGTTCCCCCTCCCGCCTCTTAGTTTTCCCTTCCCTCTGCCCTTATTGTTATTTATCTCTAGTTCTTTACATTCTGCCAAGAATTCTGAAAGCTCCCCCAGAACAAAACTTTGTCTTTTATGTTTTTTCCTAGAATTCAAATGATGGATTTTTTTCAACTTAAATCCTTTCTCGAAGAAGGCAAAACATAAACAAATCAGTAGTGAAGCATTTTAATAAGGCAGCTCCGCTTCTGCCCGTGTGCATGTCAAGTGAGGTGCCCACTTCACAGCAAACAAACAAAAAGACATTTGGCCCTAGAGTTTGTGAGCTCCACCCCAGGTGTAGGCCACGCGTCAGAGAATGTGGAGTAGCCCAGTCAGAAGAGAACGGATGAAGGGCTGAGGCGGTAGCTAGTGTCTGAGTAAGAATCAACAGCATTATTTGAGCGGACTGGGGCTAAGGGCTGAAAAGAAAAAAATGGGTGAGACAACAGGAACCGGCGGCTGATCTGCGTCTGCTGGTCAGCATTTTTCAGGAGAGTCCAGCTGGAATAAAATTCTGCAGCACAGACTTTGGAGGAGAGCATTTTGAACACTGTGTCTTTAGAAAGTCACGCAGAAGCAAGATCTAACACAGAAGTTAGAAGAAACAAAGGGAAAGAGAATTACACCAGCACAGAGTTTTAAGCAACAACATTCAGATGGTCAGAAGATAACTGCATTTTCTTTTGCTTGCGCTCTTCATACTGTGCAGGAGTGTTCACTGACAAATATAAGAGATGGTGGGCCTCCCCAGTGGCGCAGCGATTGAGCGCTGGGCTGTGAAGCTGCCCACAGCCTCTGCAGCGCCGGTTCAATCCCTGGCCGCCGGCGAGGGTCCCACAGGTCCCACGGGATGCGGCAGACCTCTTCTGCCATGCCCGCTGCTCCCCTCAGCAGTGTATTTCGTCAGTCTGCCTGTTCTGTTCCCAGCTCTGGCTCTGGTGAATTCTCTCACTCTCCCGCGCTTCTGACTGTACCCAGTGCTTGTATAAATGAATAAATCTTAAAAAAAAAAAAAAAAGAGATGGGACTAGAGACCCTCCAGGTGCCGGCCCTGGTAGGAGGTCTCCATGGCCGAGTGGAGCAGAGGAGCCCAACTGCTGGGTTCCAAGCTTGGCACCATCACTCACCAGAGATGGGCAAGTCGTTTGCTCTCCCCTTGCCTCCACCCTTAACGTCGCCACATTTGCTGTCTCTTTCTCTGTGGCGCTCTCTCCACATTTTTTGTCAGATCTGTTGGAGAGTAAGTTGCAGGATAATGCCCCTTCAGTCCATATTTTAGTATATTTCCTATGAACAGGACATCTTACATAACCACAGTTTAATGATGAAATCCAGGACATCTAACACTGCTGCCACACTTTCATCCAGTTTACCAGCCGTATCCCAATTCTGCCAATTGTCTGAGGAATTATCTTTGCAGAAAAATCCCCTTCCGGCTCAGGATCATGTACTGCATTTACCTGTCGTGTCTTTCTCCTTTCAGCTGGGACAATCCTCAGCCTTTCTTTGTTTTTCATGCACTGACATTTGAAGCACACCGATCAGCTTAACCTTTCTTTTAAAAGAAAAGATAATAATAGTTCCTATCTCTGAGGGCGTGCGAGGATACATGAGGTAATGGCTGGACGCTCTGAATTCCAGGCATGGAGCACTGGTGCATGGGAGTGATGAAGTTTTGTTACTGTTTGCAGCAGTGAACAGTGGAGTAGTAAACACAGGCCCCTACCTCTCTCTCCCTGAGAGAGAGGATTCAGGATAATCCTGGTAACGGTGGAATAAAGGGTGCTCCCGGCACAGGGAGGGCCCCAAGCTGCTGGGGGAGCAGGGAGGGTCACGGCTGAGGATGAATGGGAGTCACCAGCAGGAGCGGGGTGAGGGTGGGGAAGGGGTGCCTCCAGCTTCATCAGCACAAGCCTGGGGAATGGCAGGTATCAGTGGAGAGGCTATGAGGACATTACCAGTGGGTCAGCACCGCCAGCGTGACTGCCGGGATGAGGCTAGAGGTGAAGTGATGAAGGAATGGAAAGTCGCCGAAGCTTCACTCCCTATTTGACCAAACCTCCAGCCCTGGCCCTGATGGCCCTCAGTGGTCACCGAGCACTTCAAGGTCAGCTCAGTGGGGTTCAAACAAATCCCTGGTCTCTGGCAAGTGAGCAGCTCCTCCCCTGAAAAGGGGAAGAGTACATCTGGACCTTCCCCCCCTGCTCCCATCCCACCACTCTCCCAACCAAGCTCCTAGTAGAGGCGTTCATCCCAGGGACTTGCCTTCCTCCCAGCACCTAGTCCTTGGGCTCCCCCTGTGTCAGACCAAGACGCTGCTTTCTGAGCGAGCCGTGTACAACCAGATCCTCACCATCAGGATCTTGCCAGTGAAGGCTGCGCTGCCAGTGGGCTGCTCAGCCACGTGCTACCAGCCCCCCGAGCAGGTGAGCGGGCATCCTCTTCCGTCCCACCTTTCCCTATCTATGATGGCAGCAGGGAAGAGAGGAGGGCGCAGGGGTCGGGGGGAGGGAAGCACTGCTGGGCATTGCTCTCCTGAGAGCAAACAGCAGAATCTGAGTGCAAAAAAGAAAGTGACCCCTGGGATCCCCCCCATCTTTTAAAATTCCTTCAGAGACAGTCTCCCAGGTATTATACCTAATGCCTTGCGGTCAAGTAACAATCTGAGAAGGAACCAAAAACCTACATACTTGCAAGTAATCACCAAAAATGAACTTGTCATCCAACTTCCCATTTGCGGCCAGAAAGTGTCTACCTGAGGCTGTAAACAACGCTCAGTGGAGATGAGGGGACTCTGAGGCAGGCCAATTTCCAGTCAAATTATTACCGTCTAAGCGGAGATGGAGCTACGGACAATTCTGGGTTCCTAGTCACACCCAACACAAGCTCAGCAATTGAAACAGTCTTGTTGACTACTTAAAAGGACGCCAATCGAAATACTGCCCAATTCCAGAAGCCTACCACACACCTCCATCCTGCGCTTTGCTCACACCCCGGCACAAACATTCCTGAATTTTGAAATACATGGTTTCCTGATGAAGTGTACTGCACACTTGTAGAAATATTCTTATAGACAAGCTTTAAATTACCTGATTTTGCATTCGCACCTAATGAGATTACGGACATTTTAGGACTAATAGCAAGGCTGGGTTTGCAAAAGGCAGCATTTGGACATTATGAAAAATTCAGCTTTGCTCCCTAAATGTGAATAAAATAGATGTTCAACTGACAAAGTGTCCTTTATGGCTCTATTTTTGCTCCTTTTGCATTTCCCCTGCTCAGCCGTCAGTAAATTTCTCTTTACCATATTAAACTTTTATACATACAAATCTACATCAGTGCCGCAGGCACTGATTTCGATTTTTAAAATTGAATTTTGGGTGGTGACAGCAATTGGTACAGCAGCCCTGATTCCGCTCACACAAAGGGACGCATAAGCACTTTTGGGAAAGGGTGCCGCAAATTGCTTTGTTAATTAAGGTAGACTTGGATTCAGTCCAGGAGGATCTTTGAAAAAAGGTTTTCATGACTTGGTAATGAACTTCTGAAATGAGTTCATTCTGTTATGAGAGCCCATTCCCTCCATTCAATTGAAAATGTGTTTCCTGAGCACATACTACGGAGACTACTTCGCTAGGGGACTGTGGAGGGTACATCGAGACCACGCCTGAGCCTCGGAGATGTCAATCAAGAGGAGATAAGACAGGCATGGGTTCAAAAGCAAACACTTGGGGCCAGAGCCCCAAGTCAGAGGCGGCTAACAGGGCAGGTGTGGCCAGGAAGGCCTTGAGTTTCACTGCAGCTTCAGTTCACAGAGTGAGGGGGAGCCAGAGTCCCTCATTTTAGGGAGCACAGACTTCAAAGCTGACCTGGGCATAGGCGCAGGCAGGAAAGGCAGGGGAACAAAGATGCTTTGGGCAGGCAGGGTTCTCAAGATGAGCCAGGAAGGGCTTCATGGGTCTGGGAAGCCACCAAATTCTAGACAAGCTCTATGTCTTGGGGTACTGAGGAGGGGGAGAGGGGGTGTCCACAGAGCACTGGAATCTCAAAGGTGAAAACCACTTGTTTGGGGGGGCAACAAGACATTCCCGGCGAGGGTGGGCCTGAGCTGGGATGTGGTGAGAGGTGAAACAGGCTGGGACCAGGCCGAGGAGGGCAGTGAGGACCTCGCTAAGTGCCCCACTGCTTGTCCAGGAAGCAAAGATCTTTGAATGAAACAGAGACCCACTGAGCGTGTCAGAATTCATTCCTCTAGGAGGAGCACCAACATCTTTAAACACCCGTGGACAGCTGCCCTTGGCCTACCAAGGGCAGCTTGGTAGACTACCTTAACCTTGGTAGACTACCTTAAAACTACCTTAACCCCTCTAGCTGTCTGGAGCTGGGAGAGGAAAAAAAGATGAAGATGTCTGCTTTCCCTCTCAGAGATGCTTCTTGAAACTCTTGTTTTGCAGTGCGTTCAAAATGATAACGAAGAATAGCATAATCTGTGTTTAGGCCATGCCTCAAAAACTTAACTTCAGGGGGTCCATATGCGGGGAGGCGGGGTGACATCACTGCCAGCAAACACATGCCACACTGTGGAATGGAAAGACCAGGCCTCAGCTCAATCACTGAGAAAACGGGATTACCTAAAACCTTTGAATCCACCTCTGAGAAGTTGGGAACATCACTTATATGACTTACAAACTCAAGACAGAGTCTAACTTCTTTCACACAGGGCTGAAGTGAAACCTGGATACCAAGCAACTCCAAGCGCTCCCTGGCGGATGCCTGCCTTCTTGGGTGGCTGCATTTCCAGGCCGCTTGCCGGAGCTGCGCCTGGTGCTAGATAAGTGGGTGTTGGTTGCAGTCAGCGATCTTTTAGGAAGCTGCTTGTGCACCTAATGAACTCATTAGAAGGATTTGCTCCTTTCCCTGTACTTAAGTCGACAATTACAGTTGTTTTGCCACCTTCCCCCATGTTGTGATTCTTTTATTAAGCTCTTAGTGCTGCAGGGAACACGTGTTCTCCTCAGGAACTATAGTCCAAGGGGGCCCACCTCATAAGCATTAACTTAAAGCAGCTGCACAATAGGAGCGAAGGTGTAAGAGGTATTAAGTGTGTTCCTGCTTCCCACCACCACCTCCCTAGTGGTGGGTTTTGGGTGGACCATGAGACTCCCCAAAGGGCAAACTGAGGGGGAATAAATGGAGGCTGTGTTTTTTGTCTCCAGTCTGAGCTCTGCTTTCCAGGGAGTCTGGTTCTGCCACACTGGTGTCCCCCAAAGGCCATCTTTCTTCCCATTCTCACTGGGGAGGGAAAGGCTGGGACAAAGAAAAGCAAATGGGTAAATACAAGGAGATGTTTAACTCTTTGCTTTAACTGTCCATGGTCCAAAAAACGTTGTGCAGAGAATGAGGGGAAGAGTGGCCTGATGTTCATGGATCAAGAGGCTTTTCCAACAAGAAGTAATTCCGGAGGAAAGGTAGCTGAGGAAAGAGCAGGCACCAAGGAGGCAACGACAGACCCGGGCCAGGACAGCTGTGTCTGTCTGTCTTGTCCTGCCACTCACTCTCAGGAGATTCTGAGTTAATTGTTTTATTTTCTGATTTTTTGTTTCCTCATCTCTAAGGTGGGGGCAGTAATGGTTAGTTCACTCAGCTGCACTAGCAAAAATGTGCCATGCAAGTGTACAGTATTTTGTTAAGATGCAGGACGCCAAGAGGCCTGCTTGCCTCTCCTCAATAGGAACAGAAAGCCTGCGGGACAGAGCCGCCTCCCTCTCCAGTCCTGTCTTTTTGGCAACTGGCATAACCAAGGGAAGCTCCACACCAATCAGCAGGCAGGGACTCATGCCTGCTGCCGGCTGCCAGGTTAATGAAGAGGCTACCTGAACCACCTTTTCAAGGTGATTATAAATGATCTGGGGATGTCGGGGGGAGTGACTCACAGTGCTGTTCTCAATTCCAGCAAGGGGCTGATCCAAAAATTATCACAAAGATTTACCAAGCCCAGGAGCAGTGTCAGGTGACATTGGGATGAGGTACCACGACAGTGGTCTTGAGTAATGTGCCTGCTGCCATTGTGATGCACCGGTTCACTCAACCAGGGAAGCATTCATCAGCCACTCTGGAACCATCACCCAAGTCCTGACTTGCACTTACAGACATGACTCAAACCTGTGTGGGCCTTCGACTGATGAGCACCATCTCCCTAGAAGATGACAAAGGATGACAAGTCCCAAAGAGAAAGCTCTCCCCTCCTTTCCTGGCCCCTCTTAAATTAAGTAAAGTAAACGAATGTCATACTCACTTCCCCAAGATCTAGGCTCTCCTCAGGCTTATTTTACCACTTGAATTTTGTTAAAGTCATACATCGGCACAGCTGGCAGCTTCTTGATGATAAAGGACTAGGTCATGGCCCTCCTCTGTAGTTCCTGCAGTTCTTCCCACAGAAAGCTTTACAAATCAATTCTCTCCATTCATGACACAGAAATATTCCTGTGGTACATCTGCAACTATATTCAAGTGTTTTTTTTGTCTCATGACCCATACCAATCATTTATCTATCTATTCATTCAGACATTTACTGAATGTCTTTTATGTGCTAAGAACTATGCTAGAACACGGGGGGTGGAGGGGAGAAAGATAAAAATGGCACTCTATTCTCAGGAAGCTAACATTAAAAATATACAGGAAGAGAAGCCCTAGACAGTCTACATGGGGTTTGCAGAGTTGAGACTAGGTATGATTCAAGAACCATATACTTTGCACCAGCACAGACCACAGAAGCCCTGAGCTAGACATCCCATCCGTGCCCACCATCCAATCTGCAATCTGGCTTCAGCAAGGCCACTTGCTCTAGTAGGTGGACTGGCTTGGTTCTGTAGTGGGTTAAGTTGCAAAAAAAAACACGTTCCTGCTCAAACAGATCATGATCAAGTCTCACAAAAGTCATTTCTTCAGACTGTGTGTGTTATGTATCATATTTCTTATCTCTAACCTCTTGCGCGAGTCCCTGGCTCAAATACCCGACTGCCTACTTGACATTTCCACTTGAAGTAAATCCACTGGGCATCTCAGGTTTAACATGTCTAATACCAAACTCGAGATGTTCTTCCCACACCCCACCTGTTCCTCATCTAGTCTTTCCTATCAGTAAATGGCACCACCATCCAGTTGCTCAGGCTACTGGCTCCTTTCCCTTTACCCTACTCTGAATATATCAATAAAAAGTCCTGTTGACATAACCTTTACATTACAACGCCAATCCAGTTACTTCACGTTCTTTGCTACAACTCTTATTTAAACCACCACCAAGGCTACCACAGCAGCCTTCTCTTCAGCCGCCTTCATTCTGTTCTTGCCCCCTACAATTCATTCACCACATACAACCACAATGATCATTTAGAAAATTAGGTTACATCAGTACCCCCAATAGCTTCTTACAAGCCTGATAACATCCAACTCCTAACCACAGCCTACAAGACTCGATTGTGCCCGGCTCTTGTCCTCTGACCTCTACTCTGAGTAAACACCAGCTTGCTCACTACCCTTCAGTCACTCTGACCGTCTCTGTATTCTCTAATATGCCAATCAACGTGCTGCCTCAGGACCTTTGCACTACTTGGAATGCCCTTTCTACCGGGTGCACATTATTGGCAACTCTTCCCTTGGGTCACATCCACGTGTCACCTCTTCAGTAAAACCCTATGGAGCTGTCATAACTAATATAATCCATTTATCATGCTACTCTATTTTATATCTATCATAGTACTTATCTGGAATGTTTTATGTATCTACTGGCTTATTGGGCCCTGAACTAGAATGTACACTCAGACCTCATGGGGGCAGGCCCTTATCTGTTCATTTCTGTCTCCCAGCACTTAACATAGTTCATGGCAAATGACAGGTGCTTAACAAATATGTGCTATACGAATGAATGAATCCCAGAGCTGCAGCACCAACCTGAAGAGGTGAGAACGTAGGTCTACTACTCACACACTGGGACATGGGTTGCAGACCAAAACCTGCTGCAAGGGCTAACAGCGGTCCTGGAGGCGTCAGGCAAAGTCTTAGAGGAGACCCTGTAGAGGTCCTTGGGGATCAGTTTGGTTTGTGCCCAACAGTGGTCTGTGTCAGGGGAGCAATGCCAGGGGAGCAATAAGCCTGAGACTATCAGCACCACCCGAGACAGGTGTTGTGGGTTCCAAGCCTGGCTGCACCTTGAATCATCCGGGAGCTTTTAAAAATACTGAGGCCAAGACCCCCATGCCAGAGATTCTGATTCAATGAGGCTGAGTGGTCCTGGCATCCAGGTACTTATAAAAGCTTCTTCGGCAATTCCGAGGCGCAGCCAGGCGGGAGCAGAGCAGGCAGGGTCGTCGCTCTCCGCAGCAGCTCCCGGTAAGAGCCGGCGGCGCGCACGTGCGGCCCGGGGGGGAGGCGCGCGCACGTGCCGCCCCCGCCGCCAGCCGCTCGCGGGCCCGGCCCCTGCCTGGCCCCTTCCTCCCCGCGCCCCAACCGCCTCCCGCCGCAGGCGGACCCCACAGTCCGGTCACCTGGGTGTTCTCTCCCTCCCGAAAGGCCTGTGCTACCCGCTGCCGCAGGTAAGTGCCCAAGTCCCGGCCCCGTTTGGTCTCGTCCACTGGCCATTCCTCACAGAGCTTAAGAAAACGCCGGTAGCGGCTGGCAGCCATTTTGGGCCCCGCTTGTCCCCGCCCCTGAGGGCGGAGTCGGCGGCCACAGGTGGCGCTTGCGCACTAAGGCCCGCTGGTTTCTGGAGCGGGGGCGGGGCGCGCGGGAGGAGTGCGCACGCGCGGCCTCGCGGGCGCCCTGCGGCTCTCCGGGTAGCGGCGCTGCTGGACTTTCGCTGCGCGCGGAACTGTGCAGCCCGGGTCCTCTGGGAACCTGCCCAGCACCCAGGGGCCAGCCACACGTGGAGTACCTCGGGGACAGCTTTGCTTCTTTTTCAGTGACTGCACAAGCTCCAGACTAAAAAACACCTCCTCTGAGGCTGCTGTTTTGCCTACGCGAATATATTTGCATGTAAATCCAGGTCGTTATTTGGTGAAGATGTGTTTGAACGTAGTGGCAAGATGTGCACACGGGTTGGCGTGCCCCTTCCCGTCCCTTCTCTCTCCTCACCACCTCTGTACTGTCACTACCATTTGCTAATCTGCCACAATTCCTCCGTTAGCGCTCCTCAGCTCTTACCCCCCCAACTCCAGACCCTGTTAGCAACCCCTGTGAGCGCCCCTTTCGCAAGCGGGCACTTTGCCCTGGGGAGCACAGGGTTCCTAGCTTAAGCAAAGTCAACTGGGTTGATTCAGATTGGAAAAACTTGTTTATTATACCAAGCTTTCTCAGCACACTCCAGCGGTTGCATCGTGGGCACTGTTCCAGTTTTTTTCCTTTCAAAAGATTCTCACCATCCAGATTTTCCTTAACCAAGTCTCAGGACTCCTCTGCATCTTCATTGCCCCTCCTTTAGCTAGGACAATCCCATGCCCAAGTATTTGGCTTCCCCCAAACCTCTTCTTCATCCCCCTCCCCTCTTTTGCTTTGTGAATCCAGAGGACTCCTTCCTTCAAGGCTAGGAAGGCATACACAATCAAAACACCAAGTTGAAAGTGACAGGGGCTTTAATTGAAGTGTTAGAGCCCACTAGAGAGTGGCAGAAAGACATATTACTTCTAGCTGTTCAGAGGAGTGGGGGGAGGGGGATCAGGGATGTCTTCTGAAGGAGAGGGGCACTTGACTGGGCCTCAAAGGGTGGTTAGGATTTGGATAAGTGGGAATGGCAGGACACTGAGTGGCAAGGGCCAGGCCTGGGGCTGGCACGGGAGCGGGAGGAAGAGGGAGGAAGTTAATTTGAGGAAAAATCAATGGGTGGTTTTAACAGGGAACAGCTTTGAACTGTTCTGAATGCGTTAAAAGAACTATTGAATGAGACCCTTTGGGAACTCAGGGTATGTGACATCCATTTGAGGTAGGTGAGTTCAGAGGGTTCCCACCTGAGGTCAGGCGAGTTAAGGGGGAGTAGAAAATGCACTCTAGGGCACCCCACCATGTTCCCAGGTCAGTACTCCTCATCATTAACTGAGTTTACAGCCACACAGTTTTGATAGCTGCCCTGAGACCCAAAGGGTTGCATGCTCCAGGCACCTAGGGGTGTGCTGGGTGCCCCAAGGCTTTGTAATCCTGCCTGAGGCCCCACCAGAGCCGTGGTTTTGAAGAACACCTGCCTGGCCAGCAGCTATCCTGTGTTTCAAAAGAGGAAGTGTGACATGAGGTGGCAGCAAATGGCCTTCACCCCACTTGAGGCACAAGTGCAGTGAGAGGTTGAGGACAACTGGATGTCAGGGGAAATCCAAATCAAGGCTCTTTCCTCATCACACATCTTCTGGGTCAGAGTTTGTGGTTGTGGTTGTCTCTGGCTCAGACTGCCCTCTCATCTCTCTCCCCCCTCTTGAGGCTTGCTTGGTTGGTTGTTCCATAATGAGGCTTTGGAGTCTGACAGTCCTGGGTTAGAATGTGGGCTTGCTCATTCATTCATCCATCTATCTGGATATCTGTCCTTCCACGTAGGATTATTTATATAATTTGTAGGGACCCAGTGAAAAATGTGAAGCTCCTTGTTAAAGTTATTGTTAAAAATTTCTACACAGTGGGTCTCCCCGGTGGCACAGCGGTTGAGCGCTGGGTTGCGAAGCTGCCTGCAGCCTCTGCAGCGCCTGTTCGATCCCCAGCTGCTCCCCGGCCACCGGAGGAGGGTCCCGCATGGCGCGCAGACCTCTCCTGCCGCCCGCTGCTCCCCTCAGCAGTGTACTTCGGTCCTTCTGCCTGCTCTGCTCCCTGCTCTGGCTCTGGTGAATTCTCTCACCCTCCTGTGCTCCGACCATACCCAGTGCTTGTAAAAATAAATAAATAAATAAATAAATTTATATTAAAAAAAAAATTTCAACACAGTGACAAAAGAGCATTAAGACAGGTGTGGGGTCTTTTGGAGCACAGGGCCCTGTGTGACTGCCCAGACCACATGCCCACAAAGCCAGCTCCCGGCTCCTTCTGTGTGCTGGGTAAGACAGACAAGGGCCCTGATCCCGTGGGTTTTACATTTAAGTGGGAGAGCTGGATGACACCTGAGCAAACATAACAGTAATCGTACTTCTTAGGTATTATGTTCCTCAATAAATAAACAAGATAATTTCTGGTGTGATACGCTCTAGAGGGCGAGGAAGTCAGGGTACTGGTCCACATTGATTGGGGCAGGGGTGGGAACTAGGGGGTCTGGGTGGGCTCATGTTTGAGAGAGACCTGAGCCATAATAGGGGCCAGAGGGACTTTTTTTTTTTTTAATTTTTTTTTTTATAGAGGCATGTTTTATTTGTTTGTTTGTTTGTTTTGTTTATACATGCACTGGGTACAGTCAGAAGCACAGGAGGGTGAGAGAATTCACTAGAGCCAGAGCGAGGAGCAGAGCAGTCAGAAGGACCAAAGTACACTGCTGAGGGGAGCAGCGGGCGGCAGGAGAGGTCTGCGTGCCATGTGGGACCCTCCTCTGGTGGCCGGGGAGCAGCCGGGGATCGAACCGGCGCTGCAGTCTGCGGGCAGCTTCGCAACTCAGCGCTCAACCGCTGCGCCACGGGGGAGGCCCCCAGAGGGACCTTTATACCAAGGGGCAGCATAGGGAAGGATCTTTGGAGCAGCCAACCTTGGGTGGGTTACTTGCTTTGAGATTCAGTCTCTTCATCTTAAAATGGGAATTAGCATGATAAATGAACACCTATGAGTGTTTGCTGTGTGGCAGCACTGTTCTAAATGCCCTCCACTCATTACTCATTCAGTTGTCGTAACAACTCTCAATGATAGGTACCACCATGATGCCCATTTTACAGAGGTGGAAACCAAGGCATAAAGAGGCTGAGAACCTGCCAGTGTCACTGCTGGTAAATAGTGGAGTCTGGACTCGACCCCAGTGACTGGCTCCAGAATCCGAGCGCATCCCCGCTGGCTGGTGAGGATGCCTGTTCAGGCTTCCTTGCTGTGTGATGACATGAACTGCGAGCATGATGTGTTTTGTAAGCTTATAGTTTCCCAAGGGGCTCCAGGGTCCTCTCTGGCCTTGTTTTACCTGCGCCCCAACCCCCATCTTGCCTGTGGGTGTCTGGAGCCAGTCTCGTCTCACCAGCTTGTCAGTCACCCAGCGCCTTTCTGGGCACATTAATAAGCACTGCCTGGAATGTGGTTTGGCTCTGCCAGCCCCTCAGGGAGTTGATGACCATTTTAACACCCACCTGCCGGCTGTCACTCATTCCACACTGAATGCAGCCTTCCCTGGCTCCTGGAAAACCCCCACCAGGGCTGCCCCTCCCCATCCATTTGGAATGGGTATTTGGGCTTTATGGAGCCCTGATCGCTCTTTATAGAAACCAGGCACCATTAGGGGGAGGAGAAGGGAGGGAGAACGGTTTCAGTTTTTCAAGTTATAATGATCCCAGTAATTGAGACACCGAATTGCACATTTAAATCGCTTGAAAGTAAAAATATCATTTGGTAATGCTGGTGTTAATAATGTAAACATTAAAAAGAAATTAAATACTTAGCTATATTGTGGGGCACGATTGCCTAATTTTTCTTCTTTCAACTTATTCAACCGGCGGAAACGATTGGCTCCAGTACCCAGATATGTTGCCATAAAAAGTGGGTCTGGACTTGCATCAGAGTAGTCATTTAGTGCCCCCCCTGTGCACAGGTGGACGGAAGGGTCACGCTGGCAGTCGGTTGCTGCCTTTTTCTGGAGGGGGGCTTTTTTTCCAAACTACCAGGTCTTTGAGGGGTGCAGGGACAGCCTCCCAGGGGTCTAAATGCAGCCTGACATGACCAGAGCCCCTCATCCTATCGTCTGCCCCAGAGATCTGCCACCTTCCCTTCACTCAGCCCTCTAGTCCCTGTCACCACAGAGAAAACTTCCCGGACCCAGCGCCCCACCCAAATCAGCAGCCTCCCTCTTTGGTCGCTATCCGACCACAGGTCCTGGCGCAGTAGTCTCCCACTGGAAGACTCTGAAGAGAACAGATGACATAACAGTGTCAGCCCGTCTCCTAGCAGGCCCCAGGAACATGCTCCTCTTTTTTTTTTTTTAAGATTTATTTATATATTTATACAAGCACTGGGCACAATCAGAAGCGCAGGAGGGTGAGAGGATTCACCAGAGCCAGAGCGGGGAACAGAACAGGCAGACTTGACGAAACACACTGCTGAGGGGAGCAGCGGGCACAGCAGGAGAGGCCATGTGGGACCCTCTCCAGTGGCCGGGGATTGAACCAGCGCTGCAGAGGCTGCGGGCAGCTTTGCAGCCCAGCGCTCAACCGCTGCGCCACCAGGGGAGGCACAACATGCTCCTCTTTAGAGGGCTGGGGGAGAAAGGTGAAGGGCCAACCCAGAGCAGGTAGATTTCTAGATTTTGCTCTTGGATCAGATCTCAAACTTCCTATCCCCTTCCAGGGTAGCTTAGTAACAGAGGGAGAAGTTCTGAGTGACACATAATATAAAGGACCCAACCTGGCTGCTGCAAGTCAGCCCGCCTGGCTGGCGCCCAACTCCTCTGGCCCCACAGCTGCCTCTCCTCTGCCCTCCCTTCCCTCTAATTCTTGGCACCCACGCCTTCATTTCAGTTCTTTCCTTCATCTTCTATTTTATGTTTTGGGCCACAGAGGATGCAGATTTAAATCAAAAGTCAGAAGTTTAGATCATTTTGAAGAGCTGCTGATGAGTGGTGCCTTGGCGTTTGTTTTATTAGACTGCTTCCTGCCCTTTCCAGCGTGGTCTAACAGGCTCCATGCAGCTGGGAAGAGTGATGGCACTGCCAGGGTGCTGCCCAGAGGCCCAGGGCTTCCTGATGACATTGCATTATGGAAAAGCCATAATAACATTCTGCTCCTTAGCTTCCTCTTCAATCACACAGGGGATACCAGAGGGAGAGAGGTGGGGCTGGGTGACTATCTCCCAGGCTGCCCTGGTCCCCACTGTATGGCGACATCAGGAGAGGTTGCTCTTCCACATTCTTGCCTCGAGGACCAAGTTAGAGCTCCCGTGGGACAGATGAGGAAACTGAGGTAGAGGAGCTGGTAAGCTAATCTTCCAGTACGCTGGGCACTCTTGTCCTATGACATGGCTCAGCAAGGGACCTGGATGAGAACCCACGACCCTGACCTTTCCAGGACCCTGCCATCCCCTCGTACCCACACTTGCTCTTTCTCCCTCCTTATGAGGTATCAAATTGTGAGGTATCAATTTGACGTGAAGATGATGAAGAAAAAAGGTTATAGATGAGACTGGCTAGGTTCTCATCAAGCCCATTTCCTCTTCCCAGGTAAGTGATTAAATTGCATCTCAGCCCTTGGCATCAGGGTCGGGGCCCATGACTGGCTTGGCCCATGGAATGTGGGTGTGCCTTGTCCACGCCGTCTGACTCCTAGGTCTTGTGGTTGAAGATGGTGGTATCACAAGAGGAAAGGAGTCTCTGGCTGCCCGAGTGGAGCACAGGCTCTCTGCCGACCATACTGGATTTGAATGTTCAGCTACTGAGATTTGGGGATTGTTTGTTATAGCAGCTAGCCTGACTAATATCTGTGTGTTTCTCAGTTTGAAAAAGAAGAGAGCTTCTCAGTCTGGGCAGGGGAGGCTAGCGGAGGCTCTTAGAGTGTTCTCGGCACGAGGGAGTGTAGAGGTGGATGGTTCAGAGGTCTTTCTGCTTTTCATTCTGGGATTTCTTCGTTTCCATCTTAGTCTCTCTCTAAGCCCCTGTCCATCAAACCCCTGTGGTCAGCACAGCCCACTTGAAGTTCCTTGAGCATAATGTTGGTCCTTTTCCTGGAATACCTCTCAGAATTGCCTCCCTTTCAAGGCACAGCTCAGGCACCACCTCCATGATCACCTCCCGTGGCCGTGCATACTGCTGTCCTGGGTAACTGTGCCCCCTGCTGAAGCATCAGTTTATTTTCATATGAGGGTCTTTACTCTCTTTTGAGTCATAAGGTTCTTAAGGATGATGTCAAGATCCTCACACTTCCCTGTTTTCTACACAGGCCCTAGCACTGTGCTGTGTGTATCAAGCACTCAGGAAACATTTGTTGGATGGGTGACTGGAAAGAAGACAGATTAATGAAACCACAAACAAATGAATGAACTACTCAGCCAGATTTTCAAGTGTCTCCACCATCTGGGCCCACTCCAGTTTTCTATATTTCTACTACTCTCAGCCACAAAAACCCCATTCTGAATGGATTGGTCTGACCACAGACTTGTAAGCGTGCTGGATTTTCCCTTTTCTCCATCCCCTACCCACCCAGCAGTCAGTTGGCCTTTCCTCACTTCCGTTAGCCATCAAGGCCCTGGAAATCTCACTTTTTCCAGTGGTTTCTGTGATGACTCTGCTCTCAGCTAGCCTCTTCAACTTTCCACGAAAGGACTGAGCTCCTGCAGCACACATGTTACTCCTGTATCAGTGGGTACTGTCTGGGGTGGTGGTTTTCAGTTCATCTATTTTTGCCTCCTCAACTAGAATCCAGGCTCTCAAGAACCGGATCTTCCACAGTGTTTAGCAAAGAGATCAGAAGGAAACCACTGCTCAGTACAAGTAGACATTGCTGATTGCTGATATCTAGGGCTCCCTAACCCCTTTTGCCATTTTTAAGTAAACTCAGACTAGATGTCAAATACATACACCCATCATCTTCTCTTGTCATAACTTTCTGTTACTCTCCATTTGTCCAGATTTGCAATAATAGGGTGGGCTTATTTGGCTGAGTTGCCGAAGCTGCAAAGCCTTATGCAAATTTCCAGACCACAGTGACCCCTCTGAGTCCAGGAGTTCAGTCAGCACCATCTAAAACCAGCAGCCAGCCTTGTCCCTTGTGACAAACTACACTTTTATTCAAGAGTTCTTTGGGGAAGGAGGTGGAAATTCAGGCTGGGCCTCAAATGATTTATCAGGGAGGAAGACAGCCTTATGGGGAGGTGCCATGGGATAAAGGAGCAGCTGAGAGTGGGCATCTTATGGGTGGGACTAAGGAAGCAGCCCATGAGAGTGGTCGTGGCACAGTTATCGACATGGGTGGCCAGCCCTAAAAGACTTCCATTCTTGTCGATCACCCCCATCTTATGCTCAGGCAGGTCCCACAATACCCAGGGCTGAGAACTGGAGGCAGGAATCAGAAACTAAACCAGGGAGCTTTGAACTTGATGTGGTACCAGGTTCTCAAATAAGAAAGTGGCCTAGCAAAAGCAGTGTTTAGGGCTCCATTTTGTGTTAGCAATATTTAGTTTTCAGCTGACTCCCTCTTATTCCCCAGCATGCTTGGCTCAACCCTTCCCACCGTGGGCACAGAGCATGCCCATCAGTCGCATCATTACCTCCACCAAACATAATTAGGGAAGTTAACTTTCTTTCAGATCCACATAATATATCCCCAAATTAAATAAAAGTTCTTTATTATCCAGGCCACACTTCCCTTCTATTAATATGGATTTTTGGAAAGTTGATGGTAATTAGCCACTAGAATGCAAACATTATTTTATCTTGTATTGTAAGAGTTTCAAATGAAAGATCCACATACTTCCAAGCCAGTGCCTGCCTCACAGATACATGCAGATCTTTTATTAGCCACCACTACCCACCCTGGCTCCCCAAAAGACTGCAGGAAATCAGTGAACTGTTCCTGCTGTGTACTCTAGTCACCCATAAATTGGAACTGCCGTACAGTGAGATGATCAGAATACGCAAACAGAAAGGGTAATAAGGCACACCAAATAATCACTGGTGACCTCAGCAATTTTATTAACAAATTTATTTCCCTAATTGGGTAACGTATCTCAGTGCTTGACTCAAGGGCATTGTAATAGGTTTCCACACTGCAGAAGAAGGAATTAATTAAAACTGTTTACTCTTTGTTCCGTATTTACACTTGTCCACCAATCTTGTAAACATTGTGCCAGGTTTCCTGGGTCCTCCTGGCTCGTCTCTTCCCTCACCCCATCCCCCCAAATAAATAAATAGACAGTGGAGAGTGTAGTTTAACGTGGCTTCTCTTCATGTGCATTACACCCCCACCATAAGCAGCTTTTCATGGTCAGAGCCATTTTGTGGTCGGAACCTGGCAGAATCAGTGCTTCCAGTAGGTACTAGGAAGTCTGTCGGGACCCTCCATGGGCAAAAATGGAGAACAGTGTCTTGGTTGTCCATTCAGACCTGGGTACAAATGTGGTGGGCAGATCTGTCCCTCTTCACCCTGCCCCACCTAAAATGCCTCTTAGGAAGGAAGAGGTGTTTCTTAGCTCTGTTTGCCCTTGGGGCGGGTAGCCCAGGCGAACAGAAAACTGAACTTGTGAATTCACTCTTCAAGGCTTCTTCAAGTAAGATTTTTTTGCCTCACAGCTTGTGAGGACTGGCAGCAACAACAAAGCATTTTTAAATGCAAATACTCCGGAATCTCACTGCAATGCTGGTCTCCAACTCATGCTGTACCTCCCAATCAACTGCTAAATGGGCCAGTTTACACTGACTGTCTCATTTGCAGGGACCAGCATTAGTGCAAGGTGCCAGGGCCCGTGGAATTACCTCCAGAACTGGTTTCTTTAGCAGCTGTGAATATAGCCTGCCATGTCTAGAAATGACTTTTGAATGTAGATATAATTATCACAAAGACATCAAAAGGGTGTCTTGACTATCCTAGCTACCAAGAGGTCCCTTTTGAGATCGATACTCTAGAAAAATCCCAATGGGCCAAAGAGATCTCATTCTCCCTCTTGGATATCCTGCAGGATCTGGATAAGATTTTCCAGGCCAAAAATATAGCCCGGATCTGGTCCATCATGGGTGGTGTGCTCATTCCAGGAGCCTTTGTATGTCGTGTGAGCAAAGTCGATCATCCGGATGTCAACCTTGGCGAGCTCTCCCTGGGAGCTGCCGTGGGCCGCCTGCAGAGCCTCCTGGGCATGCGGGCCGCCCGAGGTTCTTTCTGGCAGCTCCTGCCCATCGTAGATGATGAGGAGAGAGCTGGAGTAGAACCGGTATGAGCTCTGGCTCTTAATGACCGAGAGGAGGGCCCGGAGCTGTTGCTGGATGGGTTCCAGCAGCTCTGTCCGGAGGCGGGTTCCGTCGTGCAGGAACTGATAGAGGGCTTGTCTGAACCCCTCGACCGAGAGTTTTCTTCCATAGTACTTGTCTTTGCAGAGAAACTGCTTCTTATCAGTTTGATAAACCTTACATTAAAAGAAGAGAAAATGCAGAGAATTACAATCTTTGAAAAAAAGTTAACTCACAGAAACAGATTTCCAGGAGACACGGGGCAGGAATGGCTGAAATGAGCAGATAGATGATTTTTGTCATCAAGCACCTTTGGAGCTTTTGCATTTTAAAATGCTTTCTGTGCAAACCTTTAATAGGGATCCAGGGTCTAAAGATGCCTCACCCTCCAGAGGTGACCCTCCACTCACGAGGAGGAGGTTTGGATCGCCTTTCTTGTGAATTCCCAATGTCACCCTCCAAATCATGATTTAAATCCTGGCTTCTGGCCCTCTCCAATTCAAATATTAGCAAACCCAAGCTCTAAAGCTTTAGTGGGAGTCTGAAATCACAGCCAGTGGCCTTGGAAAGCCAACTAGATTAAAATTTCCCCAAGTTTATAAAGTCCTTTCTGCAGATTCTAAGGAAACAGGAATGACTCTTGGTAGACTGGGGTGAATTGTTTGAAGATAAAAGGCCAGGACTGGTGTGGATGGAGTTTTCAGTCTGCCAGGGGGGCTGCGGGGGCCTTGGTGGGGGAAGGGAGGTCTTATGGCAGCTCCGTGGGGCTGGTGGCTCCTCTCCTTGGCACCAGCTCCTCTCCCCTCCCCTGCCATGTCTTGGCCACCAGAAGAGAGCAGATGGAAGAGAGATGCTGATGGGGGGACAGCGGCAGCCACCCCCATTTCATTCGGATGGCACAGGCAGCACAGAGGCTGAATAGAGGCAGGCGGCTGGCATTGCCAGAGGGTGGCTTGGCACACCTTTGCTGGCATACCCAGCAAGGGCTGCCAGTTCCAGGCCAAGACAGCTTCTCAGGTTTTTCATGCCTTCAGATTATGACATGTTTATGGAAAACCAGTGTTGAAAAAAGTCAGAAAGACATGATAGACCTGGTGTTGCCTTTGAAAGGCTGGAGATGGGCTGCTAAATTAGCCGTCATAAAGACATGACAGGCATCACTCTCTAAATAAATCAGGTCAATTTCAGAAGGTTTGAGGTCCAGAGAGAGATTTCATTTACACCACAAATCATTGTCCTTCATTCTCTTGAGGACTACATTCTAAGTCTTCTGAGGGACATCTGTGCAACGAATTTATAGGCTCAACTTCCAGCTTTAAGGGGTGGCAGTTTCAATTAAGGAAAGCTGTATTTACCTTCAAATCGGTGCCTGGGTTTACTTTGAGTAGAGAGACTATAAGAGTGAACCAGTGGAGAAAGCTATTTCCTCCTGTTCGGCTCAGCCCCTGCCATAGCCACATCAGAGATGCAAAAATGAAGTGTGGCTTCTGGGCAATCAAAAATTAACCATTCCTTTACCTGGTTTAACAGGTTAAGACCTTCCCACATTGTTAACCAGAACAGGTAGCAAAAAGAAGCAGAAAAGGTGGTGTGAGAAGAGGGAATGGCTAATAAGAATGCCAAGGGCAGGTTGTTTTAGAGCCTCTAAGGAGAGGGCTCGCTTTATCATTCAGGGGAGTGTGCTGTCCACAGAGCGCGGGCGGCTTTCTCTTAGTTCTTTCCGTAGCCCCTGCTCACACACTGTCATCAAAGATCTGCTCTCAACATGGCAGAACCCATGCAGACGTTTCAGCTGCCAAAGACCCTGAGACTGAGTTAAAAAATGGTGGGTTTTTGACCCCACTGTCTTGAAAGGTGCTCTTAAAGGCACTCAGGATGTCCTAGAACAGGGTACGCATTTCCTTGGTGAAAGAGTGGCGCCTGGACACCTCCTCTATTGCTCCCCCAAAAGGAAGGGCTCAGGGCCTTCCCTGGTGGCGCAGCAGTTGAGCGCTGGGCTGCGAAGCTGCCCACAGCCTCTGCAGCGCTGGTTCTGTCCCCAGCTGCCGATGAGGGTCCCACATGGTGTGACAGACATCTCCTGCCGCGCCCACTGCTCCCCTCAGCAGTGTATTTCGTCAATCTGCCTGTTCTGTTCCCTGCTCTGGCTCTGGTGAATTCTCTTACCCTCCCTTGCTTCTGACTGTACCCAGTGTTTGTGTAAATAAATAAATAAATCTTAAAAAAAAAAAAATGAAGGGCTCAGCCGGGGGCAGGGGTCTGTGCAGGAGCCGTTCTCTAGACAGAGGATGTGCCGGAGGCCGCCCGCCTGCCCGCCCGTGGGCCTGCCCACCCACCCCTGGGCCCACCTGCTCCTGGGCCCACCTGCCCACCCGTGAGCCCACCTGCATGCCGCAGATGCGCACGCCCAGGCAGGCTGAGGTGCTCTGCGCACACTTGCGCATGTGGCGGGCCTTCTTCTCCTCGGACGCGTCATCCCCGTGCTGTCGGGTCCCCATCTTCAGGTCCAGGATGCAGGGATGCTTGTACTGTGACACCACATTTTCCAGCAACAAGAAACCTGTCATGCTGAGTTAAGGGAGGCTCCTGAGACACACAGGCCGCCACCCCCGGAGGCAGTTAGCTCACTGAGGCTGGCTGGAGACTCCCTCCCCCCGGCACCATTCCATGCCCGTTTCTTTCATTACAGCTAAGCCATCATCGCTATTAAGAATTCAAGGTATTAGCTTTGCAGCTTGCCTTAATAAGTCCATTTATTTAGGGGGAGTTTATGAGTATGTGAGCTTCTTTTCCTTTTTTTTGCTCTGAGGTTGAAATTTAAATGCGGGCGTGAAATCCCTGGCAGGCCATGCCCAATTTGCATTTTATGGCAGAAAATCATAAGGCTAAAACCTCGAGTTACTGAATGGGCCAATACCTTTTGGGAGAAGTGGGTTGATGTTAGCTTCGGAGATGAGTTGCAGGAATATTAATTTCAGTGGAGTAATTATCCTGCAAAAGCTTCTTAGGGATTAGGGTTGCAGATGTGTCTTAGTAAATACTGTGAAACCAGCCACCCGTTTGCAGAAAGGAGCCCGGTAGTGACAAAGGGACATTTCAAGCCTAAATTTGCTCTGAGAATGTAGCAGCCTGAGGGGAGGGGCTGCCTCCCCAAAGAGTCCTCCCCACCTTGTGTGTCCCTTAAGGGGAGCCACTCCCCTTCTCACTCCACCAGTTCCACAGCAGACAGGGAAGTTGGGGTGTGGAGACCCACCCAGCCCTCTGAGCCCCCTGCCAACCTCACCCAATGTGGCAGTCACCCTCCTTCTCTGCCCAGGGACCCCCATCCCAGCCCATCTTTATGCCCAGATTTCAGAGACATGGCCACTACCCAAGCAGGGACACTGTGTTAAGCTTAATTTCCAGTTTTTCTTCCCCGCACCTTTTGGGAGAGTTTTGATTTCTTCTCCAACTCAAGTTTGAGGGCTTGTGCCTCAAACTCTCCCTCACGTCCATCTCTCTCTCCACCCACCCCTCCCTTGGCCCTGTGTGTGTGTGTGTGTGTGTGTGTGTCTCCCTTTCCACTTCTGGCCCTGGGCCTGTCACCCCTCTTTCCTAAGGATACGGTGCCTCTTGTTCTCCGGGTACTCGGCACACAGGCGGGTCAGGTGGGCCTGGTGGCAGTGCAGGCCCCACGGGTTAAAGCTCCTCCTCTCGGCTTGGCATCCCTCGGCATCTTCCACCAAGGAGGAGACCTGGGTGTTGAGGTGGAACTCGGATCTCAGGAGTGCTGTGGCTGGGCTGTGGGCGAGGGAAGCAGACAGTTGGGGCTGCTGTGGCCAGAGGCCTTGGGAGAGGTGCCCATCCTTGTGACCAACTGTGGACTCTCAGGCTGAACTCTGACATGGACCATCACTGGCTACTCTCCAGGATGCCCCAGGACCTCTAAGAACCCATCCTGCACAGCTGCCCCACCCAGAATCAGAAGACGGGGGCTTTAGCTTGTTATTGTGGTGTCAGCTCCTTGGGGTCTCAAAATGCCATAGGGGATGGGAACCACAGGTCTTTGGTCCCCTCTCCTTCCTGCCCTCAATGTCCTGGCTTCCTTATCTGTGAAATGGAGGTAATGTGCACCAGCTTCCCCTTTTTGAACCAAGAGGCATAATTAGCTCCTCTGCGCTCCTGGAGAAGGAGGTGCATTCATTGTGTTAGCTGCCTTTTGTTTTCCATAAATGTTTAAAAAATCCCCAAGGATCACTTTCATCTGAGAAAGGTCAGCTAACATTTATCAGAGGTTTTGGAGCTCTCTCCAGGGACCTTGGGTGCCCTGAACCGCCTGTGAATCTGAGGCCCCTTGGGGTGCCATGTTGACCCCTCTCCTCTTCCTGTTCCCCCCACCAAGGAAGGGGATTTTTGGGACACATTAGCCACATTTTTCATTCCTTTATGTCAACTATTCTGGGGTTTCTGCTCAGCAGATTCCTGCCAGCCTCCTCCCCCCCCCCCCCCCCGACGCTTCATGGTCTCAGTGAAACAGGTATTTAATTAGACAAATATGTACCAAATGCCTGTTCTGTGTCGTGCTCTGCACATGCATCAGCTTCTGAGAGAAAATGCATCGGGGTCTTTCCTCTAAAAGTGGCGAGAAGGAAATTCTTTCCTTCTTTGGCCGCATTGGCCATTCTAGACAGAGCCTTCATCTGAATCTCTCCTTTTCTCTGCTCTGGCCCTAACGATGAGCCGTCCCCTTGGCCCAGGTGGTAGCAGTGCCCGTCCTTGGCCCGTTTCTGCCATACGGCCCTCACCTCTCCGTGAGCGAGTGGGCCAGCTGGGCGTGCTGCCACTGGGCGAGGGGGCGGGCGCCGCTGCTGCCCCCCGTGGTCTGCTGGATTGACTGCCATATCGCCACCGCCGACTCCGTGGAGACCTTGAAAGACCCCCCATTCTCCTGGGGTGGGTTGGCGACCAGGCTGAGATGGCCGAGGCTGTCTTTCTGGAGGCGCACGGTGATGGTGCCTGCAGAGCACGCGTGGGAGGAGAGCGGGGAGAAGTCAGACGGAATTCACCTGCGCAGACACGTGGCAAGGCAACAGCAACATCCTGTTGAATTGTAGCTCAGTGGTACGGGTCTACCTCCCTCTCCTCCAGCACCTCTATCTGGAAGAGCTGTGGGGACTGGCCTGGGGCTCCCTGAACCAGAACCTGTTCCAGTATAGGCCCAGAGCTGTGGAGCCTGCGCAAATAGCCTGGGGCTGACCTTTGCCCAGCCTCCTTCAGCCACGTTTCTGCCCTTTAAACAAAACCAGCCCTGTACACGTTGTGCTGGGATTCTGGTGCCTCTGTGCACACCCATCCCCTTCCAGTCACACCACACTCCCTCAGCTTGGACCCTGGAGCTGGTCCTCTGCAAAGAGGCCCTCCCGGCTCAGAGAGGCAACGATGGAGGTGGGGGCTCATCCCAGCCCCACCTCTTCTCCTTAATTAATCATCTGTTCCCTCTGTTTATCTCTGCGTGCCCAGCCTCTTCCAGGAAGCCTTCCTCACACAGCCTCTGGGGCTCAGAACTCTGTGGCCCCTTCATGCCCTCCTGTCTCTGGCTCTAACACAATGGCTCTCCATTTCCTTGGGCCACACTCACAGCACGTGAGGAGTGTTGGTGGGACGTGGTTCTTTGATGTAAAACAGAAGACTCCTGAGATTTCTCCAGCCTCTCCTCACCATCGTGTTTGTACTCTAGGCGTGACATCCTGCTGCATTCACTGCTAAAAGTAACGCGTGTGAGGAGACCTGGGGCACAAGTGTGCTAACTGGGCTCTCCTCCGGGACATCGGCCAGCCTAGTAATTAGCTTTGGCACTGGTAACCCCCAGTGGATTTCTCACGCTGGTGGCAGAGTGCAGGTCCTCCGGGGGTGCCCAGCCACACCAGAGTTCTGGTGAAGCAGGAACGGTACTCCTGGCGGGGCCCAGGACATAGCCACTGAAGCAGGTTTTCGAGAACCGGATATCTGGAGCTCTTGGTTCCCTTTCCTTCCTATAGCTGATGCTGTGAGCTGTTTGCTCCCTCCCTGACCAGCCCACACAGACCCCTCTCCACCCTGCTTTGTGCCTGAGATGCTGCCCTATGACCAGTGGCTTCCATTCCCTCCCCTGCCCCCCAGTCTGATGGTTCGGTTAGTGGGGGGAAGGTTGGAGTATTTATCCCATTAGCTCTGCCCTACTGCCATAAATTGTGCGCCTCCATGGGCTCCCTTTTGCTGGGCCAGCTCCACTACTTCCTCATGTCAGCCCTTCAAACCCAGGGGCGCTGGTCCCCCGGTTCCTCGCTCACCCCTGTTGTTCCTTTAAGGCCTGCATGCACGTCTGCTAGTGGTCCCTCTAGAAGTCCTCCTCACTTAAGCCCCTTCAGATGTACCACTTATTTTCTGCAGGAACGGTTACTGAGAGGGTAAGTTGCATGCAATCACATCCTCCAAGGTGTTTATTTCCTCCCCTGGCCACTTGGTCACCTTCTCAGCGTAAATGGTGGTTTCTGCTGACCCAGCAGTGAAGGTAGCTCCTGTCCCGGCTCGCATCCTGCCTGGCCCTCCTGGACTGCTTGGTGCAGACACTCATTTTCAGAGCTGCTCTATAATCCAGCAAGTTGCTCTTAAGGGCTGTCGGTGCCTAGCTCAGCGGTCTCCTTGGGCCAGCCCCGTCATCTCACATTCCCAGTGCCCTGATTTCACAGCCTGAGAGTGACATGCAGTACTCTCTAGCTCCTGAAAATACTGCTTTTCCTCAGCTCATCCTGGGCCCCTGTGTCCTGCGAGGTAATGATACTAATGATAATTCGATACCTGAACCTGGCATTCTGTCATTTGGCTGAAGCCCCAGCATGCCTCCCTCCACGGAGCCCAGCAGAGCTGTTCTGCTAGTGCAGGTGGGGCTGACAGCAGGTCAGGGAAATGACACATAGTCATCACCGCCACTGCCTTGTCCTCTGCACCTACTATGTGCCAGCACTATGATGTACCACCACTCAGGCAGCTGACTTGGTCACCGAGGCTTGGGGAAACTGGATCGCCTGCCCAAGGTCACACAGTTGGTAAGGGCGGCACTCTGAGAAGGCCGCATTGCCCGTAGACATGGAAGAGGGGAACAAGCTGTCACAAGGAGCTAAGGACCTTATCAGGAGACTTGGGTGTTGTCATGCTGTGTTTACTCGTGGATGGTTGGGGAACACTCCCGCTGTGTGCCCAGTCACATTTGTTCTGGTCATCCTTTCCTTGGGAGCCAACAGAGAAGTCCTGCTCCCCCACCTCATGCGGGGTTCACCAGTCCAGAGGACTGGAGCACTGAGAAGCTCAAGGACATGGTGTTTATATTTCCTGCCCTGTTTCTTCTGGCAGGAGCATTGCTGTGCTCATTCTAGGGAGGACTGATCTGGAAACCACTCCCAGGCCCCAGATTCGCCCCTTGTGTTCCTCCTTGGGGAGCTCAGGGCCACCCAGCTGCTGAGGGAGCCCAGAAAGGTGTGCCAGCCATAGGCAAGGCCCTCTGGCTCTTGTAAAGCTCAAGTTACCATCAGCAGTGCCTCTTCCCCCCCCCCCCACCCCCAGAATCCCCCTCCTAGTTGTGAGGCTATAGCAACAGGCCTGCCAGAAACCAGTTTCAGGGAACCCCCAGTCCCATGAGCCCTCCCTGAAAGGACAAGCAACTTGACCTTCACCCATTTCTCCAGACTCCAGCTCTTGTCTGAGCTCATCAGTTCTAAATGTCTAAAAAAATGGAAGTGAGCAGAGGTGCAAATAACCCAAAACCAATAAAATCCCAAAGTCATTTCTATTTCTCATATTGTCAGAGCTACACAGCCAGCCATGTCCCTGCCCTCTCGCTCTGTCTTCCTCGTGCCCATGACTGGCTCTGTGTCTCCATCTATCCGTCTTCCCTCCCTCTTTCACACCCCTCTACGGCTCAGCCTAGCCCATCCCCCTGAAGCTTGGGACCCACAGCAGAGCAGCTTTGGAAACCATCTCGAGTTCCTGCCCTTGACAGGAGCAGCCCTCAAGGGAATCCAGACTCCTAGGGGCTTGGGTTCTTTAATCAAGAGCCTCAGCGCACACCCACCCCCACCTCCTCCAGCTTGCCCTGTGGGCCCATGGGGACTTGACTTTGGAGGCCATGGACTCCCAGCACGCAGCTGCCCCAGGCTGGCCAGAAGAGTGGAGGGTGGAGGGGCCCAGCCAGAGCCCTTGTCTGCCTGCTCACCAGCCCTCCCCCAATACCTCCACCTGCCATCATGCCAGCTGGGCAGGCAAGAGTACTTATGCTATGATTGACATGCCCAAAGCATCTCAGCAATTTTGGTTTGGCTGAGCAGCTTCCCCAGCCTCTGTGAATATTCTGTCATGTATTTATTTTTAAGCTCTTGAGAGCATTTATTCACCACTGTCTGTAATATGAATCTGTCTCATCTGTTAACCAACTAGACCTAGGAGTATGTCCTTGCTTGTCCAAAGCTGACAGGCAGACTGGAAGGCAGAGGGACTTAGGCCCAGGGGCCTAACAGAAATTCCAGGGTGAGCTCCTGGGTTGTTGGGGAGGCTGCTTTGGGGCTGTCCCTACAAAACCTCTGACACCATTGTGGTTCTGGTGCTGTGAGGGAGAGGCTGGTCTCTTTGGCATGTGGTGGCCTCTTAGGAAAAGGTCTCTCTGCCTGGGACTATTCCTATCAGGAGAAAAAGCAAGATCTCCACTTAGTGGCTTAGTGGACATGGACCTGAGGCCACTGAGTGACCCTTGGCAAGGCACATCCCTTCTTTCTGTGGTCTGGATGACCCCTGAGCACCGGCTCTGAGGAGTCCTGCTCTTCAGTTTTGATTATCGGGTGAAGTGGTGGATGCGGAAGAGCACACACTCAGGAGTCAGACCTTGGGGCTTGGACTCCTGCTCTGCCCCTACTGTCTGTGTGGCCTCAGGCAAGTCAGGTAGCTTCTATGTGCCTCAGCTTCCTCACCGTCCTGCGAAAAGGGGATGATAGCACCTGTCTCAGAGTGTCGTGAGGGTAATGTGAGTTCGTACACAGAAACGACTTAGTCACATTCAGTGCTGAGTGAAAACTGAAGGTTAGCTGGTAGTGCTTTTCTTCGGGGTGTGACAAGAAGCCTGATGGTCTAAGAGCCCAGCTAAAACTTGACCTCTCCTGCCCCAGGAATCTCAGCATGAGGGTCTCACTTCTGGTGAGACCTTTTTCTAGTGCCTTCCTGGATGTGATTCTTTAGGAGTTTCCTGGGCTCTGGTGCCATGTGGGTGATGTTCTGACCAGTGAGTGAATCAGCACTTCTGCATCATTAAAACTTCATATTTGGGTGTTGCCTCAGCCTGAGGATCTCCTTGCCCTCTCTTCTGCAGGGCTGCATGGCTTCATCTGAGGGGTGTCATGTGCTTCTCTGACCCAGCCCCCTCCAACTTACTGGGAAACTGTTTTCTGAGAGAAGCCCGAAGGCAGAGGCTGAAGCATTCCCGGTGTCAGTGACACATGGAGCTCTGATGCCTTGGCTCAAATTAATCTAGCAAGTTAGTGGCGCCCCTAGACAGGAGGCACCGGGGAGGCTCACAACCTGAAGAGGGAAGTAGGGCCGGGGGGAATCCGAACTGTAGGCCAGCCCCAGGGGCCTGTGAATGGTGACAGTCTCCCCCACCAGAGGGAGCAACACTTGCAGATGGGGAGCAGGAAGGGCATCAGCGTGGGGTCCTGGATGGACCAGCCTCTTCCTCCTTCCCAGTCTGCCTGTGGCTTCCCTGGCATGCAGTCTCAGCTCTATTGAAAAATCATGAAATGCTGAGAGCCAACACCATCCCATCTAAGATCCTGCCACCCCGTTTGCTGGGTTCAGTGTAGTTGTGAAAAGACAGAGGTTAATTCCAGTGGATGCCCTGACAAGATGGGCAGTGACCCACAACCAATGGGGAGCGGCATCTTTGACCCCAGAAGGTGCCAAGGGAGGCCTGCACAGGCCACATGCTGGCCGGCTGCCCCAGCTCTCAGTATATGACCTGTGTCTTATCTCAGACTCTCAGGGGGTCCCGGCAGGCCTATGCAGATGCCCTGCTTCAGGCTCAAGGCCTTGACCCCCCTACCAGTGGGTGTCAATCTGGAGCATGCTGAATACAGGTTCCTAGGCTCTGGCCCCAAGATTCTGATTCACAGGTCTGGAGTGTGGCCTGGGAACATGCATTAAGAATATATATTTATGTTTACATACAATATATATTATATGTATGGGTGTACACACACAGCAGTGGGTGATTCTGGTAAAGTTGGTTATCTAGATTATACTCTGAGAAACACCCATGTCCACAGGCAGATAGGCCCCATCCCTCCTAGTCATCTCTATCATTGAAATGCAAGTGACTTTTTGACGGACATATTTAGATACTATCATTGCCTTCACCACAGATACTTGGGAAAGAAGGCAGGAGCTGCAAATCCTTTAAAGGAGGTCATTTGCAAATCCTTTAAAGGAGGTCATTTCCTCTACATGCATCCCATTGAGGGCTCAAGGCTGGCAGTCATCGCTGGCTGAGCCCTCTGAGCCTGTTCACTGGAAGCTGGGCGTGAATGAAACAGCCATGGATCCTGGCTGGCTGCCCGTATTGCCCCTCCCCACAGGCCTGAGAAGGGCAGCCCTCCCTGTCTAGCTTTCTCTTCCCGAACCTGCCTTATGCTCGCATCCAGAGTACACACAGCTCCCTGCACCATTTCCCCAGCTACACCTGGAGGGCGGTCACCCCCTTACTTGACCCTGCCTGCGCGAGAGTAGGAATCTGGTTTCTACCCTGCCATGTTGCAGCTACTCCACCCGTCCTCGGCCCAAGGCTGCCACCACTCCCTGGGGTCTCCAGAGGAGCCTGAGGGAGACCTCTCCCTTTCCTGTTAACCTGCTGTGGTCACGGGACCCAGCCGTGGCACGCCCAGAGTACCGACCGGCATGACCCATCAGGGCGGGTGGGGCTGGGGTATCATTTTATCCCATTCTCAATTCCTGGTGGCTTGAGCTAATTTGTAGGGATGCCAACCAACTAAGCTTCGCACTCCAGACTTGGAGGATTGGTGAGTTCAGAGAAACTGGGATGGTGAAGGCCAGCCGGGCTGCAGGAGGGGGACCCGTATCCCCCACAACCTTTACACACACCGAGCTCCAGGACTGCGGCTCAGGTGTGGAGTTCACGGACCCGCCTGGCCAGCGTGGCCGCCAGGGCTGCGTGCAGTGCCCGGACACTCACCTTTATACTGAGGGGTGAATTGCTTCATGGCCAGCGGCAGGGACTCATAGAACTTCTGCTCCTGGGAGATGAGGGGCTTGCAGATGGTGTGCTCGTCATACTTCATCACACTCAGGTGCCCGCCGACCTGGTGCAGGAAGGGCTCCAGCTGCACGTCCACCACGGCGTCCCCGGTGTCCATGCTGCCCCGCACAACCATGCTTTGGCGCGGGGAGCGGGGCGTCCCGCAAACCCGCAAGAGGAGAGCCCGAGGTAGAAGTAGCGGCTCCTGAGGTAGAGGTAGTGGCTCCTGGGCAGAATGTAGGGCTGTCAGTGGTCCTCTGCTGCTGTCCCCACCAAGGGCTCTTGGCAGGGGGGCCTCTAGGAAGCAGAGGAGAAAGGTGGGAGTGATGTAAAGGAGGCAGTGCTGGGGGCGGGTGGTGCTTGGAAGGTTCCACCAGCCACAACTCACTGGTAGTTAAACAAGACTGTAAATAGGCATCGATTACTTCTGGAACAATCTGTCACAAGAAACCTGTAACTGTTGTTGCCTGCAGGGAGTAGGACTGAGAGGGACACTTTTCACTAAATACTATTTTGTACCTTTTGATTTTAAATATTAAACATTAAAAAACATCAAACAGTGCACACAACTGGAAGTGTCCAGAGTGCAGACTTGTCTTAGGGCCTCATGTTAGTTGTCTGCCTTTGGGACCACTGATCTCGGGCCCAATGAGAAGAGAGCAGGCTCCGTGGTCAGCTCTCAAGTGCTGGTGGGGCACTTGGCATCTTGTAGTAGGGGGCGGGGGTGCAGGCATGCTTCATTTTTTTTTCATTATTTTAAAAATATTTATTTAGGGCCTCCCCGGTGGCGCAGCGGTTGAGTGCTGGGTTGCGAAGCTGCCCGCAGCCTCTGCGGCGCCGGTTCGATCCCCGGCTGCTCCCCGGCCACCAGAGGAGGGTCCCACATGGCGCGCAGACCTCTCCTGCCGCCCGCTGCTCCCCTCAGCAGTGTACTTCGGTCCTTCTGCCTGCTCTGCTCCCCGCTCTGGCTCTAGTGAATTCTCTCACCCTCCTGTGCTTCTGACTGTACCCAGTGCATGTATAAACGAAACAAACGAACAAACAAATAAATAAATAAAACATGCCTCTATAAAAAAAAAAAAAAAAAAATTTATTTATACAAGCACTGGGTACAGTCAGAAGCACGGGAGGGTGAGAGAATTCACCAGAGCCAGAGCGGGGAACACAACAGGCAGAACTGATGAAATACACTGCTGAGGGGAGCAGCGGGCACGGCAGGAGAGGTCTGCACGCCATGTGGGACCCTTGCCAGCAGCCAGGGATAGAGGACGAGTGGGCTCCTGTCTCTTGCCTCATCCTCTTCCACCTGCTGCTCCCTCCCCCTCCCCAAGGGCAGGCTTTCTGGACCTCAGGCAAGCGCTGGAAGTCTGGGCTGGAAAGGCAGTCCGTAAAGAGATCCTGACTTTGTCTCAGGAGTGTGCTGGGGAGACTCTGTGACGGGGAGGCTCTTCTGGCTGTCTTTATTCTGTCTGAGAGCACATTCCTGCAGCGGTGCCCGTCACCACTGAGTTATTAATACCCTCGCCTCTGCTGGACTCCTGGCCAAGGATGCGACCAGATTGGGAAGCGCTGTGCATGATTAACCCTCTAGTGACCTTCAGCCTGGGCCATGGCACGGCTGACTGGCAGTGTGCACAGCAGTGCCTATCAGTTTGTTCAGGACTTGGCTGGGAGAGACTCCTGCCACCCACCCATGTCCCCAGCACCAGGTGGCAGTGACAGTCTCAGCCTGCACCATTCATCCCCTGCAAGGGTGCCTCTCCTGCATTGGCTACCAAAGTGCCCCTTTAGGAAGGGGTTGTGTGTGGGTGGATGTTCTGCCTGGTATGTACACTTGCTTTGCTGGACGCAAGGGGAGATTTCAAAGAGCTGCCTGTATGATCAGAACAAGGCTGGGAAGTTGGGATTCTGGGGTGAGCACTCGGGTGGGGTGGGGCTGAGGCCTAGTGGTGAGGGGGTAGAGGCCACTTCCTGGCTTGGCTTTAAGGCCACACAGAGGCCCGTCCTCCTTCCTGTCCCAGGAGCTGAGAAAAGTTGGAGGGGAGACATCTAGTTGCGGAGGGAAGTTGGAAGTCAGCAATGAATTGACATCTCCAGTCTGGTTATCACACAGGATATCACAATGGGCAAGCCAATTCTACATGCATGCTTGGGGATGGTAAGGAGGAAGAAGGGAGAGAAAAACCTAGGCTGCCTAACACCTCTTCTTGCCCGGCTCACTTCTGTGTCAGCTGATCTGGCCCCAGAGAGAGGGAGGCAGAGGCACTTCTGGTGACCAGAGGGATAGCCAGGTTGTAAAACTCATTTATAGCCACTCCTAGAAGGAGTCTGGGCCCCGTCCCTCATGCCTATCTCCTCAGGACCAGCATTAACCAAGGCCTGGCCCCACTGCAGTAAGCCTGCTCTGCTGACATGTCCAGGCAGTGTCCCAGGCAGGGCCTCGTGCTCGTGCTGGCTGTGCACTGCTCTTCTCCCCCCAGCCCCCATCTCCCCAAAGAGCTTGAAGAACATGGACGTCACTCACAGAGAGTGTGGGGAAGAGAAAATGAGAACACATGGTAACACGCACACAGTGCTTGCTGTGTGCCAGGCAACGTTCTAGGTGCTTTACACAGATTAGCCCATTTGAGCTTCATAACTATCTTTGTACCTATGAGGTACTTAGTGTGACCAGCCCATCTTACAGGTGAAGAAATGCGGTGCAGAGAGATTAAGTAACTTGCCTGTGTGTACCCAGCTGGCATGGGGAGAGCAGGGATTTGAACCCAGGCACCTTAGCCCAGGTGTAGCCACCATGCTGGGAGGAGCCTAGGGCTGCTATTGATCTACTTTGAGAATCAGGAATTGAGCCTCAAGGAGCCTGGGACTTGACCAAGTTCACCTGCAAGTCACTGTGCTGGGACAGTGACCCAGGTTTTCTCACCCCACCCTCGGTCTGGGTTCTCCTATCCTGATGGCCCCCTGGCCTGCCCACCCCCCACCGGGTAACAGGAAGCATGTACTAGTGAGGGCTGGGCTCCTCCCCTCCACACGCCATCATGATGGGTCAGGGAGGTGCACCTAGAGCTGGGGCTTGGTATTGACCTCCTCAGGGCCTCTGGCTGGTCTCTGGCGAGACCTGAGGGGTGGTGTCATTCCCAGAGCCCCCAACCCAATGTCAGATTCTCAGGAGCCTCAGCTGAAGCCCCTCAGAGCATGGACTGAGTCAGGAAGTCCCCAGGCCTGGGGGGTGGGGGGACAAGGAGGGGGTCTGCTGGGTAGCCATCCTATACTTTTAAAAAAGCTGGGCCCCTGGGCCAAAATGGGTGACTGCTCTGGGTCTTGGTTTATCACCCGCTGCCCCAGCCATGGGGTGATGGTCTGATGACAGAATGTGGGCACTTCCCTGGGGAGTCCTCTTCCCAAGCATCTCTACACTGAGGTTTGCCACCTTGAGACTGTTCTCAGGGCTGGCTCCTGTGACTCTGCCTGGGTGCCCAAAGGCCAGTGAGGCACTCAATCTGGACAGGCTCTCACAACGCCTTGGACACACTAGGCTCCCAAGAGCATCAGGTGTCCCTCTTTCCAGTCCACACCTCCTTCCATGGCCCCAAAACCCAGACCCCTCACCCAGTGTCCTTCCCTATGGTTCCTGGGGAGGGAGAAGAGGGAGCAAGGATGAAGGGGTGAGATGGGAAGAGGGGGTGGAGGACAAAGCACACCCAGACCACCTCCCCCAGGAGCAGTGACACATGGCTCCAGATCCCTGTGTCCTCCTGCCCTGTCACTGGGTCATGTCCTGAATGAACTAACTCTGGGCCTCCTTCTAGGAGACTCAAGAGATAATTTCTCTGATGGGCCCCAGCCATTAAGCTGGTGGTTAAAGGAAGCCCTGGGCTGTCTGTCAGTACCAGCCTCTGCTTTTCAGCCCTGTGGGACCTGAGTGACTGCCAGCCTGTCACTGGGTGGCAGGACACTCCCTGGTCTGAAAGGAGGGTCACAGACAGCAGGGTCTGCAGTTGTATTTGGCCTCCAAATACAACTGGGAACAGATGACAACAGTGGTGCCAGACAATGACAGTCCACCTTTCAAGCCCAGGTGGCTGAGGGCATCACAGGTCGTCACTACTAGTCACCTTTGTGTATGTAACTGATCACACACCAGGCCTGAGTTCATTAACATTTACGGAGGACATACCTCTTTTAGAACTCGTCACTCCATTTTAGGGAAGGTACTAGAGGAAACCACAAATCAAACTTGTAGAGGTTCAAACTTGGACTGAATTAGTCAGGATCTATATCTTATCAAAGCCTGTCGGCTCCTTCTGGGTGGAAACCATTTGGCTGACCCTGATCATGGTCAGGGCTGTCCGTGAACATTCTGGAGGTCTCTGGGGGAGCGAAGTGATTGCACTTCGCTTGCCTGATGAAAGTAAGTGTGGCCACATGATGGGCTTTGGCTGAGGTAATGTGGCTGGGAGCAACTTGTCACTCCTGAGAAGGAGCTTTAAGGGCCAGTGGTTCCACCACATCCTCTCCCCCGACCGCGGTAACCTTGAAGCACAGTCACTTCCTGAGTGATGATATGTAGTCTTGGGTATGTAGCACGAGAGAGAAACCCATCTCTGCCCTATTAGGGCACTGAGCTTTGGGGGTGGTTTGTTATGCAGCACAAGTTAGCCCATCCTGACTAATTCACCAGCTCACAGCCTGACACCCAGGATGAAACCTTCCCCCTTATAGGAAGCGACCTCACTTGAGTCAGGCACTCACATATTCAGTGCGCACACATATCCCATATAATCATCACCTGCTGTTGATGGCCCTGTTGAACATCTACTGTGGATCACTGGCTTTACAATCACCATCTCTCAAGAAAATACTTTTGAGACGGAAGAAAATTGAAGAACTTTCCCAGGGTCCAGAGCCTGTGAGCTGGGATTCAGCAGGTGTGTCTGTTTCAAAGCCTACACCCATTCTGACCCTGGCATCTCCCTCTGGGAGTCCTGAGACCTAAGTGAGGCTCTTGGGGCCTGAGGCCTTCTCCCGGCCATGGCCCAGTGCCTCCCATCAGACATGGGAGCCTTTCAGGAACTTCTACCTGGCAACGAGGGTGCCACACCCAGGCATCATGCCCCCATGAGCAGGCACTGGGCA